CTACTGGATGTAGCATGTATTCATGGTTCTTGTTTGCTTCATGCTTCATGCTTCCTTCTCAAGGGAGTGATCCTTAAGGCATAATTACCACCTGGTGTTGGAGGTACCATTTATGGATAATAAAAATGAGGCTCACAAGGGGAACTAGCCAAGGTCTCACAAACCAGGACAAACTAGGAGAGGGACATCATGCTTCCATCCCTGAGGCTAGCACTTGGGGCACTCCACTGTGGCTATGTCATTATCACAGTTGCCTGGATTGTGTCACATAGTACCTTATGATCCTTCTAAGTCACCCAGCTTTTGCCAGCACTCATTTGTATGCAGACATCTGTCAGTGGTTTCTGTTGCTCTCAGCTGGTTCCATCTTAGGTGGAGTTCCCTAAGCAGAGCCTGATGCAGGGATTCTTGTGCAAATAAATGGGTTTTGGAGGGAGGCATTCAGGAACAGACTATAGAGGACTCAGGGAAGGGAGATACAGAAGGAAGCGAGGCAGAGATGTGGGCTCAGCCAAACCCCATGGGGAGCTCAGGAGCTTGGATAGCACCCCAGAGCTGCCCCATCTTGAGACAAGAAGGCTGTTCAGCCACATAGCAATATGTCATGAACAGTGGTCCAGTCACAGAGAGAGGGTATAACTTCCTAGGCATTTCTAAGAGAATAGGGAGGCTGTGAACTAATAACCAGTGCCCACAGCAAACGGAACATGGCCACCTAATGTGGAAAAGGGTCTCTGGAGGGGATGATAGTATCCACCTGACAGTCCTTATTTCATCCATCAGATTATCCCTGAGAAAAGCCTCTTCGTTCTGTAATAATACCCCATAAACCTCACATGGCTGGCTGTATCAATCAGTTGGCTGAGTCAATTCCAAAGACTAATTGCAAGATCTAATTTATGGTTGCTCCTTTATGAGGCTCTGTGAATCTTACTCACCACCTTCCTGTTTGGGCCCTGGTTCTTTAGGCCAGGGTAAATCACCAGAACAAAGGGTTTTTTTTTTAAGCATCTTCAAACCAGGGAGAACTTGTAGGACATGCCCTTCTAAGGAGGGAAGATTGTCCTGTTTGCTTGTTACACACCGGAGCAACATCACTGCTGTTAGACACCATCAAATTTCATCTTGATAAAATATGACAAACTGGAGATGATAGAGAAACTTGGTGTTATTGTGGGTGTTTTGTTTTGTTTGTTTGCAGTGCTGGGTATCTGACACAGGACCTGAAGCACACTAGGCAAAGAGAGCACTGAGCTGTTTCCCTAGCTATGAAATATCTGTTTGAACTTCAGTGGCATGTTACCCATTCCCCTCCTCCAGCTCCCCTAACTAAACCAAATAGCTAACTGATCAGAGTTAAAAGTGGCTTAACTCTTAAGCAAGGTCTTTAAGGCATAGTCCTCAGATGGACAGGATCAATGTTCCTTAGGGCTTGGTAGAAATGCAGTGACTCTGGCCCACCCCGGATCTACACAATCAGAAACCAGGGGATTACCACATAGGCTCCTGAATTCAGCAAGCAAAGAGTATAGAGTTTGTAAACTTGGGTCATGTTCAGATCACCTGTGGGATTTAAAATTTCTGATATCCAGATGCCACCCCAGAGTGTCTCATTTACTTGATCTGTGGTGCTATCTCACCAGTGACTTTTTTCAAGCTTCTCTGGTGATTTTTGTAGACAAGGTTGAAGATCTCCAGTTAGCTCAATGTGGTAAAAATCTTAACATAAGCTTCCTCTGGAAGAGTTTGTTCTTTGACATTATAGTTTCTTTAGAACACCCAGGGGTATTGCAATGGCATTTACAGAAAGGACAGCTTCCCCTATTTTGGCAGATTCCGGTATCTGGAAACTGGTAGCAAAAGTAAAAGAAAGTCTTCATGTATTTGAGAAGCCATGAAAGCATAACAAACATAACCTTTCTTTTTTGTTTGTGAGGGTGGAGAGTGGGGGAGTCTCGCTATCTTTCCCAGGCTGGCTTCAATCTCCTAAACTCGAGTGATCTTTGTGCCTCAGCCTCTTCTATGGCTGGTGCTGCAGCTCTGTACCTAAAAGATGAATGGACATGAAGCCGTTTGGATCTGAATAAAGCCAAGAGGGTGGGCCAAGGGGTGAGATGGGGCCCCTGGCAAGCCCTGTGCTTTCACAGTGTCTCTATGATGATGACAGTCAGAGGTAGTCAGCACAGGTTGGCTGTTTCTTAAAACTAACATCACCCATGTGGACGATCTCACTTCCTTTATGCAGTCCCCTCATGCTCCCATCCTTCCAAGTCTTCACACTTGGGATTCTCAGGGATTAGATGTCTGGACTGAGTGAACCCCAAACTAAGCCTGCCCTTTTGGACACAAGGGTCAGATCTGATGTTGCTGCTGGCTACTCCAGGACTGTGTTAGGGACCTGTCCCCTGAGAGCCAGGGAAAGTGTCAGTATTGAGGGTGGGACAGGAAGATGGTCCCTAGAGCCAGCCAGCCTTGGATTGGAATTTCAGCCCCATCCCTCTGAGCAAGGTCATGACCTTGAGCAAGATGGTCAGCTGTTCTGACCTGATCCTTTTGGTTTGGGTTTTTAAAAACATTTTATTTATTATTTTTTATTTTATGTGTATGAGTGTATTGCCTGCATGTATGTAAGTGTACCATGTTGTACAATGCCTGAGGAGTTCAGAAGAGGGTGTCAGATCCCTTGGAGCTGGAGTTACGGATGGTTGTTAGCTGCCAGATGGGTGCTGGGAATCAAACCCAGGTCCTCTGCAAGAGTAGCCAGTGCTCTTAACCTCGGAGCCATCTCTCTAGCCCCTTATTTTGTTTTTTTGAGACAGAGTTTCACGTAGCCCAGGCTGGCCTCAAATTCACTGTGTAACTGGGTAGACTGGAGGCAAGGTTAACCTTAAATTCTTTTGTCTTTTTCTTTCTTTTTTTTTTTTTCCAGACAGGATCTTACTATGTAGCCCTGGCTGGCCTAGAAAGTGCTATATAGACCAAGCTGGCCTCAGACTCACAGAAACTCTCCTGCCTCTGCCTGCAGAGTGCTGGAATTAAAGGTATATACCACCATACCCTTTAACCTTGAATTATTGACCCTTGTACTTCTACCTCCCAAGTGCTAGGATTACAGGCTCGTGTACCTAGATCAGCACCCTAATCCTTCTTTAAAACCAGCATCACAGTACCTATAGTGTAGTGTTTTGAGGAGTAAATGAGTGACTACTTGTAAATCACTCAACATACTGTAGACACTCAATGAATTTGAGCTACCCTGTGTTCCCTATGTTCTCAAAGTCAGGTGAACACCAAATGTTCCCGTGTTTAGCTCAGCCACTTCTCCACTGTCTGTAACTCTGGGCAGCTCCATATCTTCTCAGGCCTCCATTTCCTCATTTGTAAAATGGATTAAATGCTCACTGAGAATTAGTGTTGGCACCAAAGGAGGTCAGTATGGCTTGTTTGTAGGTATGATTTGCAAACCATAAAACTTGCCCTTCTTAAGGACATGAGTCATTCATGGGTTTTCGGTATATTTAGTACATTGAGCAAAACGCGCCATCACCACACACCACATTCTCTCCACCTCCCAAAGAAACCAGGTTCCTGTTTGGAGTTGCTCCCCATCCCCATCACCTATATTCTCAGGACTTTTCCTGTTCTGAACCTGAACTTGTGTAATGGAGTCGTATAATACTGTGTCCTTAGTTCAATGCCCCATCCAAAAAAAAAAATGTGATAAACTTATATACCTGGTTTTTTTTCACTTAGCACAATGTTTTCCATCTAAACATGGCTAAACCTTGTATCCAAGCCTCATTCCATTTAGTGGCTGAATAATATTCCACTGTAAAAATAGACTGCATTTGCTTAGCCATTCATCAATAGATAGACACTTTGGTTGCTTTTATTAAAAGTTTTGTTGCTTTGGTTTTTTGGACCCATAGTGACAGGGTCTCACTATGTAGACCTGGCTGGCTTTGAACTCATAGAAATCCACCTGCCTCTGCTTCCCAAATACTGGGATCAAAGACGTATACCCACCATGCCCAGCTATGAAAGCTTTTAGCACAGACATTTGTTGGTGTTTATAAATAATGTCACCATGCTTTTATTAACAGCACCTTTCCATTGTGATGTTTTGTTAGCAGTAATATTAGGGGTAAAAAATGCTTAGATTTGTCAGAAGAAATGAAAATCAAGCATTCGGATACAGAACGACCATCCCTATGTGCATTTTTTTTCTTTAAAGTGTAGCCATATTCATGTTTATAAGTGCTGTTGAGCATTTGAAACCTCATGGTTACTATATCTGAAAGTTACCATTTTAAAATATATTTATTATTTTTATTTTATGTGTATGAGTATATTGCCTGCATGTATATTAAGTACACCTGTGTTGTGCAATGCCAGTGGAGGTCAGAAGAGAACGTCAGATCCCCTGGAACTGGAGTTACAGACAGTTGTTAGCCACCAAGTGGGTGCTAGGAACCAAACCCAGGTCTTCTGCAAGAACAGCCAGTGCTCCTAACTGCTGAGCCATCCCTTAAGTCCTGAATTTAGAGTTTTTTAAAAGTCTGTCCTCCAAGAGAGAAATACTTATGCCCAAAGGAAACAATATTTATGGTCACTACCTTTTGAAAATGGGATTAGAAATAGAAAGCTAGATCTGTTGAATGCAAAGTACTTTTTTTTTGGTCTTTTTGAGACAGGGTCTCTCTGTAGCCCTAGCTGATCTGGAACTCACTATGTAGACCAAGTTGGCCTTGAACTCACAGAGATCCACCTGCCTCTGCCTCCCAAGTGCTGGGATTAAAGGTGTGTGCCACCATGCAAAGTACTTACTTTCATATTAGTGATATAGAGTGAAATAAAGCATGTCTGTCCTCAAGACTTTTAGTCTTAAGAGGAAGTCAGAAGGGTGGTAACCGGGATGGTGCGTTTGTCTGGCAGGTCTGCCTGGAGAGTGCCTGGGGACGGCAGCAGTCATTTGACCCCTGCTCTTTTCTTTCTCCTAGCATGGTAAGACACAAGGATGATGGTTATTCTGAGGATAAGGATGGGAAGATGTGTGCCCGGGACTCTGGCTATGACAGTCTCTCGAACAGGCTCAGCATTCTGGACCGTCTCTTGCACACCCACCCCATATGGCTGCAGCTGAGTCTGAGTGAGGAGGAGGCGGCAGAAGTCCTACAGTCCCAGCCTCCAGGGGTAAGACTTGGGACTCCGAGACAGGCTGAGGCAGGCCTACTGCTGCCTGACAAACACTTGGAGTTAGTTCCAGAAAGTTCTTTACAGTTTCTGGGTAGCATAGCTTCCAGTGTGAACCTTGATTACAGTGCAGGGAAATTCTGGGATCTACAAGGTAGCTTCCTGGAGCAGAACACTTTAGGATTTGTCTTTTTGTATTCATTTGCTGGGGCATCTTGGGGCAGTGTGGCTCAACAGACTAACTGCACATCAGTGGAAGAAGGAGGAGTGCTGGCCAAGGGCCTTCTCAGCCTGCTTCTGGATCCCTGGTTGGGCCTGCTGCTCTCCTCTCATTCTGAATCTAGGGAGCCTCTGGGGCCCCTCACAGAGCTCCACCTGCCTCTGCTTCCTGAGTCCTGGGACTAAAGGTGTGCACCACCACGCCCAGCTGCTGGCAGTTTTTTCTTTGCCTTTCTCAGTGGCTACTGCCTATCCACAGCCACTGCTTTCTTTACTCCGACCACTCCACAGCTGGGCATGGCAATTCATGTCTGTAATCCCAGCTCTTGGGAGGCTGAAGCAGAAAGATCTGCTCTCAAGGCCAACCTGGGCTACGTTGGAAAAGAAAGAAGGGGTTGGGGAAATGGCTCAGGGCATCAATACCACCTGAGGACTGAGTTTGGATGCCCAGAACCCATGTAAAAACTGGGCAGCTACAGAGGGTCTGCCTGTAATCCTATCACTCAGAAAGCAAAGAAGGGGGATTCCCCAGGGAAAGCTGGCCAGCTAGGCTAGCCAGTCTGTGAGCTCTGGGTTTTATCGAGAGGCCTTGCCTTAATAAATAAAGAGCAATTGAAGAGGATATCTGATATCAAATTTGGGCCTCCATATGTACATCCACACTCATGTACACATGTAAGCCCTCACGTGTATACATGCATGCATACCACGCGCACGTGCACACACACAGAGGGAAGGGGAGAAAGACAGAGACAGAGACACACACACACAGAGAGAGAGAGAGAGAGAGAGAGAGAGAGTCAGTTCAATGACTGGTATGTCCCATGCTACTTACTCATTGTAGCATCTTCTCACCCCATGTAGCTTTTTAAATTCTCCTGCTCTGTAGTAAAAAAAATTAGCGGCTTTAGCAACTTGGTTCCACAGTTGCACTAACCACATTGTCAGTGCTTAGGACCCACAGGGGGCCGCCATAGTAAAGGACCCAGGAAAGAGAGCACTATCATCTTTGCAGCGTGTTCTATTGGTCAGCACCTTGTGCAAGGTCTGCTACCAAACAAAAGACATACAGTAAATCATAGATAAAATAAGACTGAAAAATGACAATACAGAGAAACTAAGACACACATGGAGGACATGGAGAAAACTCCATCAGCAGCTATAGGAGGAATGCCATAGCAACAGGGTATAACTACACTTTGGAGTTCCGTGGCTGCCAGAGCCTGTCGGGTATTACTGCCTTTCCTTACAAGTAAGTCATTCTTTGTTTCTTTATTTGTGAAAACAGAGACAGACAGGACTAAGTCCTCCCCTGAAACATGCTCAGGGCACTGAGACCCAATATTTGATCATCTTTTCAGAGAATTCCTTGGCCAGCACACTAAGTTGCTGCCTCTAGCTTTGGTCTGTATGATCAGAAACTTCCTTCCGTGATGTTCCACTTCCCATCAGTTGAGTTATTGGCTCCTGTCTTTCTTCCAAAAGTTCTGAAGCATGTGCTTCAGATTTTCACTGTCTCAGAGCCTGAGAGCCCTGATGGATGAACCAGATGAGCTCCATTACCAGGCAGCAGTTCTCCACCCTGCCTTGGCCCCTCCTGGGTGGGGCATATCCATTCCTGCTTAGGCCTGCATGAGAAAAAAAAAGCCAGGCAGAATGTTCTCTCCATCCACCTACCTGAGCCCTGGACAGGGCCTTCCTGACAAGATAGGGCAGGCTGAGGGCAGGGTGAGGACAGGCACCATGTGAATGAGAAGCTGAGCCTGGCTCTGGTGGCATGAATGTGTTAAGGATGAGCCAGGGGTCTGCAGACTGCTCTGTGAAGAGCCAGACTGTAGGTATTTTGGGCTTTGCAGGTCATACAACATCACATGTACTCAGCTCAGGCTTTGTTGGGCAGAAGTAACCACAGACAACATGTAGAGGAATATGTGGCTATGCTTCTGCATAGCTTTACTCATAGAAACAGGTGCAGGATGGATGTGTTTTATGGGCCTAACTTTGCCAACCCTCCTTCTAAGTCTGCAGGCCCTTAGGAAGCAAGACTTGGGGGTTGCACTCCTAAAGGTGGTCCCCAGGGAGGTTCCCCATCTCTAGAGCTGTGTTTCCTCTCCGCCTGCCAACAGCTGTCTCCCAGCAGAACTTGGGCCCTTGCCCCTCAGGATGCTGTTTGAGAAGCATCAGCTTCAGGGTTTTCGTTTTGTTTTGTTTTGTTTTGTTTTTGTTTTGTCTTTTTGAAACGGTCTCCTTGTAGACCCAGCTGACCTGAAACTCACTATCTAGACCAGGTTGGCCTTGATCTCATAGAGATCTGCCTGCCCCTGCTTACTGTGTGCTGGAATTAAAGGCACGTATCACCACAGCTTCAGTTTTAACCTGTCCCAGAGCCTCAGTGCCCAATGGATGAACCAGATGAGTTCAATGGATGCCCTGTGGGTGCTGGGAACAAAGAGCTCAAAGGGCTTCCTGGCCACTCCCTCCCCAGTAAGTACCATGGGAACAATAAACATTAAGAGAAGCAAAGATCAGGTGGATCTTTGCAAGATAGGTGTAGAAAGTTAGATGTGCAAATCCAGAGCAAAGAGAAATAATCAAAGAAAGAGGATAAGGGAGGCTCCTCACAGAAGAGTCACATATACAAAAAGGAACCCAGGACTCAGTCAAGAGAATGGTGAGCTACACACTGCATTTGATTTATAGGCCAGGAGGATGATGCTTCCTGAAGCCATGAGGGTGTGGCCTACACAGCAACACATGACAGACCTGCCTCTGCACTGACAAAGGCCAGAATGGTCCCAAGATCAGCACTGGGAGTTGGTTTGGTTTGAAACACATTTCTGAAGAGGACCTGAAGGGAACTGTTGGAAAGTGAGTTGGGGGGTAAATGGACAATCTCAGTGCTGGGTTGGGTGGCTCTCTGAGCATGCCCACCCACCACCTCCCAAATGCAGCAGCCATTTTTTGTTTCTTTGTTTTGTTTCCTGAGACAGTGTCTCACTATGTAGCCCTGACTGATCTGGAACTCATTGTGTAGACCAGGCTGGTCTCAGACTCACAGAGATCTGCCTGCCTCTGCTTTCCAAGTGCTGGGATTAAAGAAATGTGCCCCTCGCTTGACTCATCAGCCTTTTTTTTTTTTTTTTTTGTTCTTAAGGGGTTTTTTTCTCTTGTGTGTGCTTTCCCTTTTTTCTCTTTTTCATCAGCCTTTTTTTTTTTTTTTTTGGTCTCTAGAGGGTTTTTGCTACTGTGTCTGGTTTCACCTATTATCTCATTTTCAAGAGAAGCTACACATTCAAAACCGGGGTCGGGGGCGTATGGTGGTGCATGCCTTTAATCCCTGCACTTAAGAGACAGAGGTAAACGGATCCCTGAGAGTTTGAGACCAGCCTGTTCTACACAGTGAGTTCTAGGCCAGATGGGGCAATGGGGAGACCCTGTCTCAAAGAAACTACCCAAAAAAACAAAACAAGAAAAACAATTAAAACCACAGAACAACTGCTTTTTCATTCTTGGCAATAAATTCCAGTTCCTCTCTTAAATAAACCAAATTAGCTAATAACTCCCAGTTTTTATCACCTATAGTTTAGCCGTGTAACTTTTGTTTAAAATTCAAGTTTATCAATCAAGACACGTGATTGAGGCAGGGGCTTGGGAACGTACAGCTACCACAGTGAAACAGTCACTGGCCTGGACTTCCAGGGCTTCTGTACACGAAGGAGCTCTTAGCTGTGGATAATCTTGGGTCAGAAGGAAAGTAGGGTCTTTTGAACCCAGTTTTCAAAGCAAGGGGTCTCCAGCAAGCTCTCTGAGCTCCTTTCTATGACTATCACGTGTCCTGCACCGGGCTCTGTAGTTCTGCTGTCCTTGGTTCTATTCATGGGCATTAGATGCAAGGAAAATTAAACACCCGGGTTCTAACCTTTAAACTTGCATTTTTTTTTTCCCCTCTGTTAGATCTTCTTGGTCCGTAAATCCTCCAAAATGCAGAGGAAAGTCCTCTCCCTTCGCCTGCCCTGTGAATTTGGCGCTCCACTCAAAGAGTTTGCTATAAAGGAAAGCACATATAGTAAGTGATTGTTGGATGGTGAGGGCAGGGCTGATGGGAAGGATCCTGGGCTTGGAAGCAGACTGACATGTCTGAGTCCTGAAACTGAGCGATCTACCCAGAAACCTTGGTTTTCTCATCTATGCAGTGGGGTAATGGTTAGCTCTGAGCTGTTCACAGGGCAGTTCAACAACCTGTGCATACTGTGTGGCCATGGTAGGGGCTTAAGGGAGACTGTCTTGTCCCTTCCCCAGTGAAGTACTGCATAGATTTGGTGCCCATGTTTGCTGATGACTAAAGCACAGGGAAGCTTCAGCAACGGAGCCCTTTTACAAGACCCAGTGCCAAAACATGTGCCTGCATGTCTTCATGAATAAGTAATCTTCAGTCACACATGTTCCCTCCAGGCAGTCACTGTTCAGTCTTTTATGAAATGCAGCTAATCTGAGGTGGAATCTAGCCCTCTGGGTAGATGACTGGCTAGATTTTCACAAGGAGACAATACTCAGTAGTGTTGGTTTTCTTTCTGTTATTCTGTGGTTGCTGTCAACTTTTTGCTTGTTGGGAATGCGAAGTGTCGGGAATTCAAGTTGTAATTAAAAGAGGGAACACACAGTTCCGGTGTACTGACAGCCTCCAAGAAAAGATGGGAGATGGATCGCACAATAAAATAGGAAGATCTGCAAATCCTAGATTAATAAACTGAGAGGTAAAGGCCAGGGGAGGCGAGTTAGGACTGAGCAGGACTGAGCAGGACTGAACATACCTCAGTCCCTGCATTTGAAGAAACTGAAGGCACCCTAGAGTTCAGTCTCCTTGAGCCAAATGACCTTACATAGAATCCATGGAAGAAATATTATTGACAGAAGAACAACTTGCCTGCCTGTATGATTTGCTTCTAGTTCAAGTGTAAAACTAGAACTTACAAGATCAAGGAAGGCAGGGAAACAGGTTCACCTGAGCAGACAGAACCTGGAGAATAATTAAATATAATAGGACGTAATCTGAAAACACATTTTAGACCCACCATCGTTTCAAAGGTTTGTTCAGTAAATAAATGATAAATTTATGCTACACTGATTCAGTAATTCTGAGTTGGCTTTTGAAAGACTGCTGGCAAAGTCTGGAAGTCTTCCTGGTTTTTAAAGTCCTCCTAAATTCCAAAGTTCACCATGACAAGGCTGGAAGCTGCTTCGTTTTCTTTCTAGAAGTCCAGTCACTGCCTTTAAAAGCCTACCCACTGTTCACTGAGGTCTACAGCTGGAGTTTTTTCTCAGATGACAGGACTTCAGTCACTCCCTTAATCCCCAGTGACTTCAAGTGATTGAGAGAGCTAGTTTGTACAAAACACTATCCTGGCCATAACTAGATACCATAGGCCTGGGTTGCACCATGATGGTACCTTCCTAGCAGGGCCTGTCTTCTGTACAAATTGGGGTGGACGAAGGGCTTACAGTTATTTTAGCATTTTTTTTCTGAACAATGTAATAAACACCATCTCATGTTTGTGTACAGGACTTTTACATAAATTATTTAATTTTTAAAAGTTTCAATTCTACTATGACTCTTTTGGCAGGCAAGGAAAGTACCATTGTCCATTTTATTGATGAGAAAATCAGGGTTCGTAGAAGGTAATCTGTCCAAAATGGGTTCACTTCTACTGAAGTCAATAGATGCACATGTGTCTGCTGTTTCTAAGTGTCTGTTTGTGATAGAATATGTGTATAGGAAGGGATGTGTTGGGGGTCCTACAGAAATGCTAAATAAGTAAATAATATAAGTCAAATAAATAAGGGTATGGAGCATTAAAGAGGAAGAGGGGAGGCATAGGTGAATGACCACTGAGGTTCCCTCAGATGCCTCTGGAGGAATGATGGTGTGAATGAAATTTAGAAGTTCTGTAAGGGTGCCTGGCCAATGCATGAAGATTGGAAGTCAGGCTGCCCCCTGCCCCACCACTTGGTAGCTGTACATGCTTCAAGTTGGAACACATTTTGCATGTAGAAGCTTGGGCAATGCATCCAGGTGGGAGGACAGGGCTTTATACGGAATGTTGCTGAGAACTGATTTCTAGAACTCTTGAACTGACATTCAGGTCATGTTCCTCTGTCCTGTGCCTATATCGTTGAGGCCTTGATTTGTCAAAAAAAACTGGCCCAGGAGGCCCATGATCAAGAAAGAACATCAGGGGTGGTGGGGCCCAGTGCTGCCATGTGCTGGTGCCCTCTGACTGCAGCCAGACTAGCCTGTGCCCCTGCCCAACTTTGTGCTCTGAACTTCAAAACAAAGCAAAGCAAGGTTGTTGTGCAAGTGTCTGTTTACAAGCATGAGAGCTTGTGCTCAGGGTGAGTCAGGGAGGCCGCCTTAGGCCGCCTGACTGTTCCAGGATGTGTCTGGCTGTCAGCATCCCCTTTACAGCTGGTTTGGATAAGCCACACAGTAGTTAGTCTGAGATGGGCCCACATTTGCTGCCTTAGATGCCCTTCCTTCCCAGATGCACTCAGCTATCTTCTGGAATCTCTTTTCTAGCCTTTTCCCTGGAAGGCTCAGGAATCAGCTTTGCAGATTTATTCCGGCTCATTGCTTTCTACTGCATCAGCAGGTAAGCACCCTTCTCATCTCATGACTTCAAGGACCTGCTTGGTATGTGATATAATCTAGATCTAAGTTTGGAAGAGGGATCTGGGAGTCTAGCCACCTGTGAAATGTCAGAAGGACCTCATGCTTAAATAAGGTGGAAACAAATGTCCAGCCCTCCAGATGCAAATTTTCATTAACATGGTTATTTCTTTTTCAAAAAATGCTTTTATTATTTTCCTTTTATGTGTATGATTGTATTGTTTGCAGGTAGGTAGATAGGTAAACCCATGTTGCGCAGTGCTTGAGGAGGTCAGAAGACCGTGTTGGATCCTCTGGAACCGGAGTTATGGATGGTTGTTAGCCACCCTGTGGGTGCTGGGAATCGAACCTGGGTCATCTGCAAGAGCAGTCAGTGAGCCATCTCTCCAGCCCAACATGATTATTTCTTAAACCTGCTCCCAAGGTTCCTGATGGTTAGACCCATCAAGTGGGAAACATACCCACACCCACACACATACATTAACATGTACATGCACACAAACATACACACCTGTGTAAATACTTGCAGAGAGAGAAACCAGAGACACAAACTTGTAACCTTTAGAGGTCACACAAACTTTTAACCTTTAGTGTTTTTGGAAAACTCTCCAGGGAAAAGAGTCAATTTTTCAAATGTGGGCTCCTTAAATCAACCATAAATCCTGCACAGTTGCTCTTCAGGCCAGCCGGGTGTGTACATGCTATGCAGGACTGAATTAATAGTTTTATTTAGGCCCAGATGAGAACCAGTGTGAAGAGAATGTGAGATGTACATTCCTATTATTATCGTTTTCTTTTCCATCCAGCAATGACAGCTTTTAAGTCTTGTCTCTCATATCTGGGGTCATGGCTTAGTGGTAAAGCATTTGCTTACAAAGCATGTGGCACTTTGGTCCCTAGCACTACCAAAGAACAAAACAAAAAACAACCAAGCAAAGCCGGTGTTCTCCCAGTGAGTAAGCAAGGAAGCCCTTGCTGCTTACAGCGGTTGGCTTTGCTCTTACGCAGCAGAGCTCAGCCTGGCTTCCTTGGCTTGTCTGTTTGCTCATTGCAGTGGGTACAGGGAAATAGATTCTCAAAGGTCACATCTCACAGCTAGCTAGCTCTCTCACCCTGAGACTTAGGAGTTCCTTTGACTTTGGCTCCATTTATTTTAACTTAAGGATTAGATATTAACATTTATCATACCTGTTGACTTTCTCTGCTGGGGATGGGCACTAAGCTCTTGGGCTAGCTGAAGCCACACAGTGAACAGCCTGAGGAAGAAGAGGTACCTCCACAAGGAAAATCCAGCTCTGCTCACAACAGGAAAAACCTGAGGGCTCTCCTAGGAGGGACAGTACCTCATGAGGTTCCCCCCAAGGGGAAGCCACCTGCCTGCCACCGGAAGGTCACAGTCCCTGGAAACTGTGCCCTTCTAAACACCTGAGTTCACCTACTTATAACAGATCATTTTAGATTAAGAGAATGAAGATGTTACTTCACTAAATACTGAATCCTTTCTCTTTCTTTGGCATTTTAAAATTTGACTAGTGTTAGATGTGATGGTGCACACCTTTCTTTAATCCCAGTACTGAAAAGGCAGATCTTTGTGAATTCAAGGACAGCCTGGTCTATAGTATAGGAAGTTCCAGACCAACTAGGGCTACAAGGAGACACTGAGAAAGAAAAAAAAATGGCTAAATAAATATTCCTATTTAGCATGCAAATTAGAGTAACCAAGCAGGCTACCGCTGCTCCTGAATATGTTTGTAGTGCCTAGTGCCAAGCACCACAGACACTGCAAGTGGAGGGCTGGGTAAGGTGGCACACGCCTTAAATTACAGCACTCACTAAGCAGAGACAGGCGGATCTCTGAATTCCAAGCCAGTCTGGTCTACATAATGAGTTCTAAGTCAGGCAGGGTTACACAGTGAGACCTTGTCTACAAAACAAAACAAAACAAAACCACAGACTACAAATGGAGCCACTTTATGAAAATATGAACTTTGGGGGTAAAAGTTTAGAACAGAACCAAGTGAAATCTTTTTTTCAATTGTATTCCTAGCCATTCAGGACTATATTTAAATTGTTTTTAAAAAAAAAAAAAAACACCTTTTAAGGAAGACTTTTGGGCCAAACATAGTGCTGCATGCCTTTAATCCCAGCACTTGGGAGGGCAGAGGCAAGCGGATCTCTGAGTTCAAGGCCAGCCTAATCTACATAGTGAGTTCCAGGCCAGCTGGGGCTATAGGGAGACCCTGTCTCAAATAAAAAATAAAAACAAAAGAAAGACTTTGGGGAGTTGGGAGTTGGGATGAGTCAGTTCTTTCTGAGGTACTGCCCCCTGGAATAGGAGACTATCTAGCATCGCTAATCTCCGGTCCCTAAAAGTAGCAGCACCCTGGCAATATGACAAACCGCTAACCTCATCCCAAAAGTCAAAAAGAAATGTGTTGCCCAAAGAGAGAAGATTGGTGCTGCCCCCAGAACACACCCCCAATCACCCTCCCCTCCTTCAGCTCCTACCCCTAAGAAACCACACCAGCTCTGGTCTAAAGCTAAGGAGGTTGGAGAAGAAGATGTCAGCCAGAGGTGAAGTCGGCAGATGGCTGCGCTTCCTCCTTTGCTTGCTGACAATAATGCTGTTGTGAGGAAAGAGCCTTATACCTATAAATACTTGGCAGCTACACAGAAAAGATCCCATCTTTCCCCCCCCCACACACACACACACACAAAACAGACTGGCGTGCCAGGGCAGGCTGGTAATTAAAGGTCATAAAGTAAATGAAAGCCTTTGGCAAATTACAAAGTGTGACACTCACTTAGTGCTTACAGAAACATTCCAGTACCAACATTTTGCAACTAGAGGGGCCCGAGAGTCATCTTCCTATTTTTTTCAAAATGCAAAGGTACTTGATGTTTTTGTTTCTCTGTTAATGTTGCTCATCTGTGTTCTTGGTAATCAGTGGTTGATTACAATAGTCTTACTCAACTATTTTTAAATCTTCTGCTTGGTTGTTAGTATATCAGTACATTCAAATAGAGGCTGTAATGTATTCCCAACACAGAATGTGTCCAGTATATATACATAGACAAGAGAATCCACAATCAGTGGCCATGCAACTTGTAGTGTCAAATCAACCAAAGGAAAAGCACAGTTGGGAACAGTAGTGACTACCCTTGACCACCAACACCTCAGTGCTCCCTGCTGCTTGAGTGGAGTCAGCGAAGTGTGGAAGACTGCCTTTCACACTCAAAAGTGCACCTGAATTTCACTTGCAATACCATTAAGAAGCAGAATCCAATTCAGGGGTTCTGGGGTGGTGCTGCATCCTGCAGTTCAACAAGCCCCTGAGTGATGGGGATATTGTTGCTGGGCTTAGACCACACTTGAGTGTAGAAGGATGTAGTAACTGGCATCTTCTCCATATGTGTCTGGCACAAAGGTACATTATCCCTAAACCTCCTGATAGCCTTGTAAATTAGAACCATGAAGACGCTCAGAGGGAGTGAGGTGTTTGCCCACCATCATTTAATGAAAAACTAGCAGATATCAAATGCATCTGTAATCCCAGCACTCGGGAAACCAAGCAGGAAGATTGAGAGTTCCAGGCCAACCTGGGTTACATAGTGAGACCCTGTCTCAAGAAGACACACACACACACACACACACACACACACACACACATACACACCATTGAGCAGATATGGATTTGAACAATTTAAATATAATCCTGAATGGCTAGGAATACAATTACAGTATATATTGACAAGACGATTTCACTTGGTTCTGTTCTAAACTTTAACTCCCAAAGGTTCATATTTGCATAAAGTGGCTCCCTTTGCAGTCTGTGGTTTGGTTTTGATTTTGAAACAGGGTCTCATTGTGTAACCCTGACTGACCTAGAACTCGCTATGTAGACCAGGCTACACCTGTCTAGGTGGTTGTATGATCCTGACATCATAGAATTAGGGATATCACAGCTTCTTCCCAGTGTGGTCCGTGGGCCCCACAGGAGTTCAAATCGTTGCTGCATTGATGTAGTAATTGCTGAAGAATGTTAGTCTCATCTCTTTTAGAAATGCAACATACAGAAAAAAAATAAATCTAGACTGTGCATATACTGAAACTCTTGAGGAAAATTTTTAATACGCAAGGTGATGGCTCTAATTTTTTAGTTATAACGCTTTAACATCAAGACCCCCTTTTAATGGGGTATAGATGAGGGAGGAAATTGTGTATGTGTGAAGATCCTGGGGTACTCCTGGCTGGCACAATAAGAGATGCCTCAGGTACAGCATCTAATTGTCTGAATAAATCAAAACCTACAACCATCTATTAAGGAATACCAAGTATAGCTTCCTGTTCTATGTCATTAAGAAAAAACAAGCCAGACTGGTGGTTTTTAAACTCCAGGTAGCATGCTGAGCCAGATAAAAACTTAAAACAAGCATAGGTTGATTTTGTTGTGTGTCCTTTTCCCCCCACATTGATGGAAGAAAGTAGATTTGAATAGATCAAGTGCAGTTACGCAAACATATATTTGTAGCATACTTTGGTATTGCAAAATTCTAGTTCCCATTAGCCTTCACTTGGAATGAGAGTCAGGGCTACTGTCCCTGCCAGGCCACATGGCAGCTGCCATCTCCTGCAGCTCCACCTGCTTCATCTCAAAAAGTTGCAAAGGAACACACAGAGATGTTCACAATTTGGGGGACAGATGAAATGGTCTCATGTAAATGGGGTGACCAGGGCTGGACAAGGTCAGAACACCCAAGCTCTGTTATTTTCACTGACTTTGAAGCTTTGTTATTCATTGTCAACAGCTTCAAGGACTCTTTGTCACCAGTCACCAGATTTAATCTAGTTCATTCTGGAATGTTGCTGGATTTTACCAGCAATTAGTTATATGATTTTCTTCAATGGAAACTTGGAAGACATTTGTGATGACAAAATACTGACAGAAGTTTCCAGTTTTATCTCGCACTAACTCTACCCTAGCCAGGGACCTGCTTCTGGTCTTCATACATGCCAGACCCTGCCCATCCCAGGATTTTTCACCTACTGCCTCTACTCCTTGCAATTGCCTTCCCTGTGTGGTTTACTACCTGGACACATTTTTTTTTTTCCTTTTCTCTTTTCATTTTGTGTGTGTGTGTGTGTGTGTGTGGTGTGTGCATGTGTGTATGCATGTTTAACTTTAGTCAGATATTTTTTGTTCATAGATGGAAAAGGGAGGTTCTTTTACGATTTTAGAACTTGAGTCTTTGGACAGGTGCATGTGCATGTGGAGGTCTGAGATAAAATGTCAGGAATCATCCTCAATGGCTCTTCCACTTTATTCATTGAGGCAGGGTCTTTTAATCCAAACCAGAGCTCACAATGAGGCTAGTCTCACTAGCCACCTAGCTCTGAGAATCCCGTCTCTACCTTCTGAGGTTGATAGTACAGGTGGGTCACCATGCCCACCTGGCATTTGCATGGGTTCTGGGCTCCAGAACTCCAATCCTTAGGCTTGTAAGGCAAGTACTTTAACCAATAAGCCATCTCCCAAGTTCCCTTGACCACATTTAGGCCTGAACATTTGTTCAAAAACCTTGGCCTAACCAAATATCATCTTAAAATACTCTATTTTTTTTCTTTTTATGGTTTAATTTTTTAAATGACTTGTGTAGGGGCTGAAGAGATGGCTCAGTGATTAAGAGCTGCTGGTTGCTCTTGCTGAGGACCTGGAATCATTCCCAGCACCCACAGGGCAGTTAACAACCATCTATAGCTCCAGTTCCAGGAGATCTGACACCTTCTTCTGGCCTCTGTGGGCACTGCACACATGTGGTACACTTACATACATGCAGGCAAAACATTCATACACATAAAAAATGAATAAGACTTAAAAGTTAAAAAAAGTTATTTGTGTTTGTGATTATTCATGTTTGTGTATGTGTGATGGAGGGAGGGCATGCCCATGCCACAGTGCACGTGTAGAGTAGAGTCAGTTCTCTCCTTCCACCTTTACGTGGGTTTCAGGGATCAAGCTCAGGCTTGCACAGCAATTGCCTTTACCCACCAAGCCATCTCACCAGATAGCTCCCTATTTTTATTTTTTAAAACTATTTTATTTATTGTTTTTATTTTATGTGTATGTGTATATTGCCTGCATGTAGGTAAGTGCACCTGTGTCGTGCAATGTCTGAGGAGGACAGAAGAGACTTTTGGCACCTCTGGAACTGGAGTTATGGACAGTTGTTAGCTGCCATTTGGGTGCTGGGATTCAAACCCGGGTCATATGCAAGAACAGCCAGTGTTCTTAACCACTGAGCCATCTCTCCAGCTCCTTGATTATTTTTTAAGGCAGGATTTCACCATGTAATCCAGGCTAACCTGGAACTTAATGATTTTCCTGCCTACATCTCGCAAGTGTTGGGATTACAGGTGTACACCACCACGCCTGGGTTCAAAGAGTCTTCATTTCCCTTTCTTGCATGACATTTCTACAAATTTCTTACTTGTTTATATCCTGTTTACATCTATTGGCACAGTACTGCTTACTAGCAAGGACTCGTGTTTTGCTCCCAGGCCCAGAACAATGTCTGACATCCTAGATGTTCATAAACATTTGTGGAGTGAATAAGTAATTCTTTCTTTGTAAGACCAATACCACAACTTAAAAAAATTAACAGCTTTTTGTGCAGGTCCATTGTCATTGAATATACATTCATTCATTCATTCATTCTAAAAACACTTTCTCCCAGACAGACTATTATCCTGAGCCTTGTAGGAACTTTATGAGTGCTTAGTGTGTGGTTCTCAGCCCTGCATAGGAAAATAAACAGCTGTTTATTTCATTTGCCTCTGTCCTTTCTGAGAATGCAAGTTACAGCCCATGCAGTTGTTCCTGATGCTGTAGCCATGGCTATGGCAGGATCCTGCTGTCAGCTTGGCATCTTCCTATTGGGCTCACAGTGCAGTGATGCCCCTCTCTGTACATGGAGCGTTAGCACATGGTGCCGTACCTCTTGGGCAGTTCTTGGCCTGAGGTGCCTAAGACTTGCCTTTAAAGAGACTGGTCAAGTAACCAGCAGCACTCCTCACCTGGGAGCTTGGTTGATAAGCATTCAGCAGCATCCACGCCTCCTGAATCCAAGTATGCGGTGTATAATATAATGAAACCATCAGGGATTCCTGTGTATATCCAAGTTAGAGAAGATATGCACTAAAACACAGTAGAAAGTTTGGTTTCCAACACACAAGGACAATATGTGGTCTCCTGTTGGAAGATGACACAGTGAAGTGAAATCAGCTGGTATTTGCTGAGAACCTCCTGTGTATACTGAGGATTGAACATTCCTGTCCAGGGAGTTGAAACCCAATAGTCAGATAAGCATCTAGCAAATTAGCACGTGCTGCTACTGTAGAGGTGTGATAGGCTTACCAGCAGAGTCAGTGACTCAGATATGAACTTCTACACACCTATTTACCACACATCATGGTCCTCAGCGGGGATTCTGAAACCAGGCAGGTTTGTGTCTTCACCTGTCTTCAGTATAATAATGCAGGAGAGTCGCCAAACTATAGAAACTCTAGTGGGATGCGGTATGGTCTCAACTTGAGATGTTTTAAATAGTTTAAAATGGAACATGTCTATGATGTAAATGAATGCAAGACGCAGTAATCGGGCATGCAATTACAAACATTCTCTCTCTTTTTCTGGAAAATCAGAGATGTTCTGCCATTCACCTTGAAGTTGCCTTATGCCATTTCAACAGCCAAGTCCGAGGCTCAGCTTGAAGAACTAGCCCAGCTGGGACTAAGTAAGTGGTTGCCCCTGCCTGGTCTATCTTAAAATGCGTCCATGAATAGAATCCCTTTGGGGCTGGCTAAGGCTCCATTGCTACATCAAACACACCTGTGATCTAAAAGAATCCCCTGCCTCCCTGGCAAAATGCAGCCCTCAGGCCCAGTCACACTTTCTGGGATTCTTCTTCCAGGACAAATGTTCAGCCAACTCTCAAATGAGCTTGCCTGGATAGCTCCTAAATCCCTAGCTTCTCCCATAAAGGTTTTAGGGCTACACCGATGTGGATGTCCCAGCATGAGTACCTGTGATCTGTAGGGGTCTTCCCTTTCTGTGGCACCTTGCTGGGGAAGGGCAGCCCTCAGCTCCTATTCACACACATGGCTTCTATCTTGAGTGGCACACAGGCACCTCAGGTGGTGCTTTGGTGCTGTGAGGAACGTGTCAGTGGAAGCATCTCGAGTAGCATCCGTTTCTGTTCCCCTCTTTCTCAGTTTCCACCCCACTGCTCTGGATCACATCCTTCATGTCACCAAGGATCCTTACTCTGACAGCTGGTTCCCCCTTCTGCTGCTTTGTAGATGTCCCCAAACCCCCACAATTCTGCTGGACAGTAGCGAATAAAGGATCAAGACACATAGCTCACCTGATTTGACTTCTTTATCCCAAGGCTCTGGCAGAATTCCTATGGGTTTAACTTTAGTCAGATGTTTTCTTCAGAGATGGAAAAGGGAGGTTCTTTTACGATTTTACAACCTGAGTCTTTGGATAAGTTGACAGTCAGGCAGATCGTAATATTTAAATGGATCTCTCTCTCTCTCTCTCTCTCTCTCTCTCTCTCTCTCTTCCCCCCTTCCTCCTCCTTTTCCTCCTCCTCTTTTGGCATATTTTTCTCTTGGTCTAAAGAACCAGTTTTGAAGTATATGTCATTCTGAGGAACCCTCCCTCATCCATAGAAAAGCCTAGAGGAAGCTCCATATTCCTTTCCAGAATAGTTGCCTACAGAGAACTGCCAGGGGTGTCTGAGGCCTTTCTGAGTAGTAGGTTTGGGAAAGAGGGTCCTGTTCAAAATAGTAATAATAATGACAGAGCCATGGAAATGGCCCTACCTAAAAGTTTTATCTTTTGTTACAATTAAGTTCCATATATCTTTGGCAAGAAATTAAAATACTTCCTGAGACTAATATAATCAACTAGATTCACTCCCCTAACCACCCACAGTGCTGGGGATGAAACCCCAGGCCTTGTGGATGCTGGGAAAGAGGTCTACCTCTGAGCTGCACCTGTGCAGCCTCTAATTATAGAACTTTCGAAGATATGCATGTGTCACTTTTCCCTGGTGACATCTGCCCCAGTACCTCTGATTTGATGGTCTACATGCAGCATATGCTTACTGCAGGGTCTTCATCTTGTTTGTTCATTCATTCAACTATTTCTTTTTCTTTTTCTTTTTTTTTGTGGTCTTTTTGAGACAGGGTCTCCCTGTAGTCACAGCTGGTCTGGATTCACTATGGAGACCATGTTGGCCTTGAACTCACAGAGATCCACCTGTCTCTGCCTCCCCAGTGCTGGGATTAAAGGCGTGTGCCACCATGCCCGGCTCTCTCATTCAGCTATTTCTTAAGGGTCTGCTATATGACAGGCAGGGTACCCAGACTAAGGGTTCAAAGGTTAATAAGATCTCTCTTCCTTGTATGAATAAGGTTCAAGGTCTACATAAGAGATAAAATACATGAGGACTAAGTGTTCTGGCCATATAGGGACTTACAAAGATTTACAGTTGTGACTGGAGAAAGCTAAGCAGGATTCAGAGGACCTGGGAGTAGGAGAGAGAGTTCTTCCAAAACCCAAAATTGGTACGTTGGTCAACACAAACATATGGCAAGCTTGTATGAAATTCACATTTTTCTGGCAGCTACATTTGAAAAATAAACAGATGATAAATTTTTTTTTTAATATTTTTCTAATATTTTATTTACTATATTTTATGTGAATGAGTGTATTGTCTGCATGTAATATAGGTAAGTGCACCCGTGTTGTGCAATGACTGTGGAGGACAGAAGAGGCTGTTGGATCCCCTGGAACTGGAGTTACAGACAGTTGTTAGCTGCCATGTGGGTGCTGGGATTCAAACCCGGGTCTTCTTCAAGAACAACCAGTGTTCTTAACCGCTGAGCCATCTCTCCAGCCCCAGATGATAAATTTTTAATAATTTATTTTATGTATTATAGTCAAAATATTTCAACATGTAATCAGTATAAAACTCCAAAGAAATGGTATACTTTATATATTTTTTTTATTCTAGATATCTGATATCCAGTTTATAGTGTTACAGCACATCTTGATTCAGGCCCAGATAGACAGATAGATAGATGATTGATAGATAGATAGATAGATAGATAGATAGATAGAATCTATATTTTGATTTGGAAATTCACAGTAGGAAAAGGAGATTTTCATTCTCCAGTTCTAAACATACATAAATGCTTTTAACTGAGTTGAGCATCCGTTTTAAATTTTAAATCGATTGGTATTAAATAGTTTAATATTGAGCTCTTTAGTTACACATCTTTTTGGATGGGCTCTGTAGCTACCTGTGACTGTTGGCTCTCATGTTGAATATCCCAAAGAAAAGGGAAAGAGGGACATTATAAAGTTCTCACAAAGCATGCCACAGGGATAGCATCATCAGTTATATCATCACACATACAAGGCAGGGCAGGGCTTCTAACATACATTTCCTTCTGACCCTACCACCAATGGCCAGCCATTCTGAACCCATAGGGAAGAAACAGGTAAAGCAAACACAGTAAGGAAGAAAGTGAAAGACAGAGGTGGAGGAAGAAGGAATATAACCTATCCCAAGCGGAAGTTATTCCAGACACATTTCAAACATCATTGACTCCCTCAGTGTATGTGAACAACTGAGGCTCTTTTGTAAGTGCAGAGGCAGGTAGGGCAGATGCAATTCACAGCCCACAGTACTTGAAATAAGCACTCAGTATTTATAGCCTTCGAAAGGAGGTTATAGGATTTGAGAAGGAAGAGCCATCCAACCACAAAGATGAATGGCCTAAGCTGAACTTAACATTTGCATACACTTGCTGTGTACTGTCTGGTCCCCCCTCCAACTCCCCGCCACACCGATGAATGGGACCCATGAACGCAGTTTTCCTCATCTTTGGGTTTTAATGCTGAGTATGTAAAACCCCAAGCAGATTGTGTAACATCCCCCAAGCACAGCTGCTGGTCCTACCCCATAAAGGGGAACTTGGAAGCCAGATGGATTCCTTGGCTGACAGCCTCCTCCTTGCAGGGCACCTGGGAGAAGTTGATTGGAAAGGGTGGTGTTGCTTTCTGGGCTGACTTGGATTTTGGCAAAGCAAGCTCAGGAGCTCTGTGGCCTTTACTGAGCTTATATTGTACCCATTCCAGCTCTCTTTTCCTTCTTACCTGTGTGAAGGGCTGGGCTGGAGTTGTCTGTTGGCTGAGCCAACATTTCTCAAGGGCTTTGAAGGTGAGAGGACCCTGGAGCCTTCCTGTGAGCCCATAGCGAGGCATGGCTGCCTTTCTGCCCTTTCAAGTAAGGGAATGGGGGGGGGGGAAGGGGCGTCAAAGAAAAAGAAAAAAAGTTCAGTGACTGGCTTTGCCCTGCAGTGTTTTTAAAAATTATCATTTCACTGTTTTAAAATCTTTACTTCATGAAGGAATGACCCGAGTGCACTGTATTTACATTCTTGTGTCCACTGATAATGACTTTCAGATTTTTGGAGCTCCTCAGCTGACAACAAACCCCCAAACCTCCCACCTCCCCATAGGCCTCTCTCGTCCACCGGCATCTGTCCTGCCTCCTTGCGTCAGCTCTGCCTTATAAATGGAGTGCATTCTATAAAAACCAGGACGCCTTCGGAGCTGGAGTGCAGCCAGACCAACGGAGCCTTGTGTTTTATTAATCCTCTTTTCTTGAAAGTGCACAGCCAGGACCTCAGCGGAGGCCTGAAGCGGCTGAGCACAAGGACTCCCAACGCTAATGGCACTGAGAGACCTCGGTCCCCCCCACCCAGGCCCCCGCCACCCGCTATTAATAGTCTGCACACAAGCCCTAGGCTGTCCAGGACTGAACCCCAGACGAGCATGCCAGAAACAGTCAACCATAGCAAACATGGGAACGTAGCTCTGCTTGGAACAAAACCAACTCCCATCCCTCCACCCCGCCTGAAGAAGCAGGCTTCTTTTCTGGAAGCGGAAGGCTGCGCCAAGACCTTGAGCGCCTCCCGGCCCAGCCAGAGCTCAGAGCCGGAGCTGGGCACAGCTGGGAGCGCAGGTGGAGCCCCGCCTGAGGACGCCCCCGAGGATTGCACAAGGGCCAGGGCGCAGCCTCCCGGCTCTGAATCACAGTCCCCGTGCCATGGAGGCAGGCAGAGGTTGAGCGACATGAGCCTTTCCACTTCCTCCTCCGACTCGCTGGAGTTCGACCGGAGCATGCCCCTTTATGGCTATGAGGCAGACACCACCAGCAGCCTGGAGGACTACGAAGGCGAGAGTGACCAGGAGACCATGGCTCCCCCCATCAAGTCCAAGAAGAAGAGAAACAGCTCTTTTGTGTTGCCCAAGCTCGTCAAGTCCCAGCTACGAAAGATGAGCGGGGTGTTCAGCTCCTTCATGACTCCAGAGAAGCGGATGGTCCGCAGGATCGCAGAGTTGTCCCGGGACAAATGCACCTATTTCGGGTGCCTGGTGCAGGACTATGTGAGCTTCCTGCAGGAGAACAAGGAGTGCCACGTGTCTAGCACCGACATGCTGCAGACCATCCGGCAGTTTATGACCCAGGTCAAGAACTACTTGTCTCAGAGCTCTGAGCTGGACCCCCCCATTGAGTCATTGATCCCCGAAGACCAAATTGGTAAGTACCCCATTTTTATCTCCCCGACTGTAAGATCTAATTGTAACCTGGTCAGACAGTACATTCTGTTAGTTGTTTTGGATTAAGTTTGCTTTGAAGTTCAAAATGACACAAATCTCTACCTGCTTTGAATGGAAAAATCAGCTTTATAAGGTAGCTGCTGCTTGTGAAGCTTCTGTTTCCGGCGTGATTGATTGAACTGCAGAAGGTCTGCCTAGAGATGATATTTGTGTCACTTTGGAGGGTTCTTGCTGATGCTGCTGTGCTCTGTGTGTGTGTTATGTTGAACATTTTCTAAGTGTGCATCCCTCTGCAAGCTGTGTACTTACAGCCTTTTGAGAGGCTAGGGAGGTTCTGTTTTGTTCTGCTTTGTTCTAAAAGATGTGCATCTGTTCCGAGAATGTAAAGATCTGGTGTGCAGAACACTGGGTTTCTACCTTGAGCACACCTGTGTAAAAACACCAGATCAGAAAGCAGAAGAGGGCCAGCTTCTAGGGGTCCTGAGACTCCTCCTGCTCCAAGGTGTAAACCTCCCTGCTGGCTTTTCATCCTGCAGTCTGTACCAGGCACGGTTTTGGAGTAAGCAAGAAAGGGAAAGACAAGTTTATCTGATATACCTTTAAAATAAGTAACATAGTTTGGAGGTCACATGAAAGGCATTTTCTCCAGAGTCAAAGAGAAATAGTTTCTTTATAACCTCATGGAAGGGCTGAATAGTTAATAGTTACTTTGGCAAGCAACTTGCCAGGCAAATTTGAATTTGGCAAGCAGTCTTTTTTTCCAGGGCAAGAGTATCTAAGGAGTTTTTCTTTCTCCAAGGAGTTTTTCTTTCTTTCTTTTTTTTTTTTTAATTTTGTTTTCATTTCAGAAGGTTGACTCTAAAAGGTTAATTTCAGTGGCTTCATTCAGTGGGCAGCAACATGCAAGAGTTTCCAAACATTTCCAGGCAGTTCAGAAACTAAACCCAGATTTCTTCTTTCTGATTGGGTCTGTTTGTTAAAAGTAGTAAACAGTGTGTGGTAGAGGCTCTCCACCCCACCCCCGACCCCAAGTGAATTTGAGCAGTGCTTTACTTCGCAAAAGACTCAAAGCCTTGTTTGTTTTCTTGCAGTGCTTTGACCTAGCCAGGGTGATCAGGGCGTGGTTAAAGGAGCTAGGGTGCTAGAATGAGTGGTTGAAAGGAATGTGTATTTGTGATGTGCCACAGGACTGAAACTGCTTCAGGAGACTTATATAGACTACAGAATGTACATACATGTTGCCATTGCCTCCTTCCCCTGACCACCACCCCCCAGAGTCTTCCCTCTCTTGGATACCAGCTCTAACTTAGTATTCCCCAGGGACCCTGCCCTGCCTGAGAAGCCTCCTGTCAGGGCTGAGGGACAAGCTAGCAGGCTCATGTCAGGCCTGAGCTATGTGAAAGCAGCACCAGTCAGCCCAGGAAACTCCTTAGGGATCAGGGAACTCCTTAGGGGCCAGGGCTTTGGCCTGTGCTTCCCTGCTGGTATCTTAAGCATCAATCCATGGCAGTCCTGGGAAGGTCTCCTGCCAGCCCCGTTTGTAGTGAAGATGAGATATGGTGTGTGCTCTTAAAGCTCAAAAGCTCATCTTCTCCAGAAACATACTCAAAATTACAGTCCTTAAAACTGAAGGTCCTACTGAGAAGGGACGCCCGCACCTGTGGAGCCTCTCATGTGTTGGGCAGCCTGAACCCTCTTACCCCCCAGTGAAAATGCATCCTATCCCTTGCAGGATGGAGGAAGACAAAGGGGCTGGGTGCCAGGTGGCGCCATTTGCACCATCCACACCAGCTAGTAGCTAACAAGTACAGAACTTGGTCTTCTATGGAGCTACATACTATGTGGCCCAGGCTGGCCTCAAAACTTATAATCCTCCTGCCTCGGCCTCCAAGTGCTGGGGTTATAGGCAGGAGCCACCACCTGTGGCAAGCCCCTGGTTGGCTAGCTTAATCCTTCTGCCATTGCTGCTTGTGTTCCTTTTGCCACTAGGAGTTAAGGGCCTTGGAGCAGTTTGCTGTTCCTTTGTTGCTGCGACTGTGACCTCCAGAAACATTACCGTGCTTTTGCGTTGGTTTTTTTTGTTTATTTGTTTAGTTAGTTGGTTGGTTTTGCTTATTTAAAACAGAGGTCCAACTGTATTGCACAGCCTGGCCTCACTCGCCTAGATTCCAATAGTCCTCCTGCCTCAGCTTCAGAAATAACTGGGACTATAAAGGCGTGCTACTATGCCCACCCTGGTTTGGGTCTGCTTTGTTTTGTTTTGTTTTTTAGCATTCGCATTAAGGCGGGCAGTTTTTCCTGTTTCTTCATGAATGAAAACAGTGTTTTGAAAGGATGGTGAAACTCGCCAGACTTTTGGAAAGTAAGGGGAAGTCTGTTGGAGCAGAGGTCAGCTGAGACACTCAGCACAGAGGGGAAGATGTGATCCTAATTATTAGAAAGCCAGTCCCCTTCAATGTACAAGTGACTAGATTAGTACCCTGACAAGAACATGGATTTAACACAGTTGCCTGTGTTTTACATATCCCTAAGTGAAGGGCCCAGTGGCTTACTATGGACATGGGAATAGAGTAACACTTTTTGAGACTCGTAACCCAAGGTTGGTATATTTCTGCATATATTGTTTAGGATTTGCAAATTCAGAAAGAGGTCAAGGTGTACAGAGGGCGGAGGCCGGTGCAGGAGGGGACTGGCATTCAACTGAGATCTCCAGCTCTCTGTTGTGTGCTCATTCCCACATCTCACTTCCTGGAAGGAATACAGGAATCTTCACTGTGAATGCTATTCCCAGAATCTCAAGCCCCAAATTTGTTCTGAACAGGTGTCTGTGAACGCTGGAAAGGCTTTTCAGGAATGCCAGTTGGGTCTCTACTGTAAAAGAATCTCATCCTGTCCTTTTCATAACTTCTGGAGGACATAGCTCTGAATTAGGAGGCGAGATTTTGGTGTAAGCCAAGATTTTTAGAATATCCACCCTGAAATCAAGGATGTGGGAGGAGGCATTCCATGGGCTATCTCAGTGAAGTGAGTGATACAAACTGAGCCCTCATTGCTCTGCAAATCTGACCTGCAGCCCTGCTTCAGAAGCCCAGTCTCAGAACAAGGAACAGCCTCCTCTCCTCTGCCTTCATCTTTACTGGCCTTTTACCAGAAGGCATGTAATCAGCTCTAGAGTTTCCTGCGTGAGATACTACTTGAATAGGGTCCATACATTTTCATGATGGTTTTCACTGAAGCGTGCTAAAATGAGCAGAAATGTGAGGGACTATAGAGGTGGCTCAGAGGTTGAGAGCATGCACTGCTCTTGCAGAGGACCCGGGGTCATTGAGCTCCCACTGACACACCGAGAAAGCCACTTCATCCACCATGATGGATTCTATCCCCTCAAGCTGTGAGCCAAAATAAACTTCTCCTCCCTTAATTTTTTTTGGTCAGATATTTAATTAAAGCCAAGAAAAGTACAAAGACTCTTAATTTGTTATTTGTTTAGATTCTGGGTACTGTTAGAATCCCTTGAAAGATGTCAGTTGCTATTTTGCATTGTTTAAATAGTTACCAACTCAGTTAGACTTCTGGTATATGTAGGACAGACTCCATGAACCATGATTCTGAAGACAGTCCAGATGGTGACAATGAAAACTAAAGTAACTTGGTCAAGACCATTTATAAAATGGAGCTCACTGGCCACTGGGCCTTATGGCCATCAGTGCTCTTTCTAAGACAGGCCCCTTCTCTGGACCTCACCTTTTCCTATGGAGCTCTCACTTCTGCCTGTCCAGCCATAGGTAAGTGGGAAGTGCACAAAGCCAGTGGATTACTGGGGCCGGTAGTGCTTCCTCTTTCCATCTCCAACCTCTGAATCTACACTGTGGGTCAGGCAGAAGGAAAAAGAAAAAACTCTCTCCTTTTTCGTTTTTATTTGCTTGCTTGATTTTTTGCTTGTTTTAAAGCATGATCTCTTGTAGCTCAGATTGGCCCTAATACGGCTATGTAGCTAAGACTGGCCTTGAACTCCTGATCCTCCTGCCTCCATCTGAGTGCAGCGTCTCCTATTCTTAACGGGAGTGAATCAGTTTTTGCTTAGAGAGCAATACAGTGACTATTTCCTTAGACCACTACATTCAGTAGCAGCAAGGAGAACCCCAGCCACTACCATGGTCTTTGCCACTTTTCACTTAGGGATGGTTTGGGGGACCAATTGATATGATCCATATATTCAGAAAACTCATTTCCACTTTGAATCATTCAGAGGATACAGCTAACATGTGGTTTCTAAAATTCAAAATATTGTATTTCAAACAATTTTTTAGTACTTCTTGTTATCCAAAAGATAGAATAGTCATTAATGAGTGTCAAGAAAAGCAGTCATGGGGCTGGAGAGCTGGCTTGGCAGAGGACCCAGGTTCAGTGCACATGGTGGCTAACAACCATTAGTAACTTCAGTTTCAGGGGATCCAGTGCTCTCTTCTGGCCTCCACAGGCATTGCATACACATGGTGCACTTACATACATGCAGGCAAAACAGGTATACACATAAAATAAATGCGAATAAATCGAAGGAGAAAGCAATCACCTAGTTCTTGTCCCATAATGGTTACAAGTGTTGGCACATGTCCATTACTCATGCCTTCTCCTGTCTGAGTGCAGCTGACCTTAAGACCAAGAACCCTTGGGAAGCTTGTGTTTTGGTCAGAATCCCAGCTCCCCCTCTTGCTAGCTGCATGGTGTGGATTTCTTTGGGTTTCAGTTTACTCCACTGTGAGGTACTTATATCATCATAGTCCTCCTTGCTTGGGGTCTGTTTGAGGATTTGGAGAGTCAGTGAACATACAGTGCCCATATTCTGAAAGATCCTGTTTCTTCAGTTCTGCAAATCATGTTTTTCTCTTACTTCAGGTCAGATGCTTAGATTTCTTCTAGAGAGAAGTAGCAGGATCACTGGTACCTGGTTTCATTTGAACACCCCTCATTTCTTATCTTTATTATTTGGTGGGGGGCCATAAATACACAGCCCTGGGGGGAAAAAAAAGAGAAGATTCCAAAAGAAAGCAATAATAACAAAACGTATTTGGAAAAACACCTAGCACTAATACTGAATGCTGCCTGCTCTGCCCACCACACAGAATGCTAATCACTGAAGTGACAAGTTTGGCAGTCTGTTCACAGGTTTGGCAAAGGTGAGGAGATGGAAAGTCCCAAGTCTCGAGTCCACCTCCCCTAGGACAGGCTTCGGGAGTACTTACAGGATGAAGCAGTGGGGTGGGGAGAGGTGTGAGATAGGTGTTTGCAGTGAAGTGCTGGTCATCAGCACAGGATACAGCAGCTGTTTCCAAGGGTGGGGTGTTTGACCCTCCAGAGCAAAACGTCATCATCCATCAAACACCTGGCAGCCCCAGGTAACGAGTCACTGGTTTTGACTGGTTTGAGCTAGACAAACTCCTGACAAATTCCTAAACAAATTTCAAATTCCTGAAAAACAAGATAAACAATTACATATTGACCACATGGGTCATGCTGGTCATGCTATCATAAAGCTAGGAGCTATTTCTTTACTGCTTAGCTAAGTGACTTCTAAAATCATCAAGGAGTCAGCCAGGCCTCAAGATTGTGGCAGGAGGATTGCTGTGAGTTTGAAGTCAGCCTGAGCTGTATAGTAAGTTCCAGCCCAGCCTGGGCTACTTACTAGCTAGAATCAAGTAAACCAGAGGGTTTATTCAGGTTTTCCCTCCATTTCAATACCATTGTTGGAATTATTCTTGTATTTTTTACTATAGGCAAAGTTTCAATCCTCCCAACAGATTTCCAAAGCCCAACGACACCAAGGCCAGCACAGGTCCTGGCCATGAGAATGAGTGGAGAGTGAGTGTGCCCAACTTTCTGGGAATGAACCCACCGTTTTTCTTGCCCCCTGGGATTAGCCCAGAGCGTTTTGGAGGTGATTTGTATAACAGTCAGGCCAGGAAATGACTGGGCTCATTCTGAAGTTACAAGTTGCTCTTGGGGGTCAAAGTGAAAATCCCATGTTGGTCTTGAGTTGTTTTCTGTTCTACATGTTTATTTGCATGTATGAAGTGCATAGTCTTAAGTACTGAGCCCCACAGACTTTTACCTATGTATTCACCCAAGTAGCCACCACCTAAACCCAGAAGTACAGCTTCTCTATCCTCCTCACATACACTAAAGTGGCCCTGTGTCTCCTCTCAGTCGGGTCTTCCCCAAGGGTAAGCATCACCAACTTCTGACGTCATAGGCCAACTCTGTATTGGATTTTATAGAAATGAAATGCTGTGGGAGACTTGTTTACATCTGGCTTCTCGCCCACTGTGTGTATCTCTGTGCTTCCTCATTAAGTGAATGCATTCCATTGCCTGAATTCCACTGTAGTATTCCACTGTGTGGATATATCCCATGCATTCTCCTGTTGGCCCAGGCTTTCTTTCTGATTTGAAGGAATAATGAAAAACACTGCATTGAACGTTTATTACATTCCTAATAAAGATTGACAGGATTGACCCACCCTTCACCTTCCTGGGTGGCCACATCCTGCCAAGGTACGGGCCTGATATTAACATAGCTTTCAGAACCTTTAGATGAGAGAAATAAAGTGGTCAGCATTTACAAAGTGCCTTGAACTTTAAGATTAAGAGATCATTTACTTGGGGTGGGGGGATGGCTCAGTGGTAATGCCCTTGCTTAGCATGCTCAAGACCCTAAATTTAATCAGAGAGAGAGAGAGAGAGAGAGAGATCATGTGGACTCAAGCAAGCCATTAGACATTTATAGACCTTAGTTTCCCCATGTATAAAATGAGCATAGTATTAGTATTATGCAAGAGTTGCTGCAAGGATTAGGTTATAATTAAGTAAAGCATCTGGATAGGACTTCGCTCATCCAAGCACTCAATTACTGTTATCAACTTTTTATGGTAATGATCATATGTGGTATAGTCAAACAAGCTATGAAGTCACACAAGTTTATTAACTTAAAACAACCAGTACAGAGTCATCTATATAAATGTCAGCTGCAAAGTGTGTGTGTTAATCTGCTTTTCTTCTTACTTTTAACTCCTTTGTTTCTGTTTTGATTTCTGCAAGTATATAGAGCTCTAGCTTGAAACAAAGGTGGAGTGCAGAGGTGGAGGAGGAATTTGGATTCAGTATGATCCTACCCAAAGTCAAGGATTCCAGAGGCTAGAGAGAGAACCCAAGTGTTTCTAATCTTATAAATAAGTGGACCTGTGAACTTGAAAAATGGAGTCACATTAGTGTCGGATCCGGCAGTCACCACAGGGGAACCCAGGTGGCTTCAGTGAGTATGTGCAGCCTGTGAGACACAAAGGTTAGCACGAAAGACCAGAGTTCATCACTGTGCCAAGTATCTTCAGCCTAGAAACTAAGATTTCTGTTGCTGTTCATTTTAGTGTCAGCAAAAGAAGCTATTCCATTGGGTGACCATTCAAAGGAGGGAAAAATAACACCAACCACACCTAAAGCCGTTTTTCTAACTCCACAGAAATTTAATTTTTTTAACTTTCCGTTTTGAAATCATATCAGACTTTCAGGAAAATTGCACAAATAATACAAAGAAATGTCCAGCCCGCGCCTGGTTTCCCCAATGTTAGCCCTTTGCCACATTTGCCTCGTTCTTCTTTTTCTTTCGTTGTTTATAAACACACATGCACACGTCCCTTCCTTTTTTTCTGAACCATTAGAGTCTGTTGCAGGCATCTTTGCCCCCTTTCCCCTAAATACTTCATTGTGTTTCCTCAAAACAAAGCCGTCTGTTGCAAACTACAGTACAGTTACCAAACAAAAAAATAAATTGAAGTTATGTTTACATAATTACCAAAGCTGCAGACTCTCTCCAGATAGCTAATGCCCCAACCATGTCCCTGGTTGCAAATGAAATGAAGAACTTTTCTACTTCATGACCCAATATAAGATCACACTGTCACTGTTAGAAAACCCTTCCTTTAGCTTCCAGGCCTGCACTTATACACATGAATGCACACAGATGTACACATGCACACACTAAGAAAGATGGATGGAGAGAGAGGGGGAGGGAAGGAGGAGGGGAGGGAGGGAGGAAGGAAGGAAGGAAGGAAGGAAGGAAGGAAGGAAGGAAGGAAGGAAGGAAGGAAGGAAGGAAAGGAGCTCTTCCTTTAAGATGACATCAACAGGAAAGGACAGTGGAAGGGCTGGGTCAGAAGAACATCTTCTAAAATTTTGCTTGTATGTAGAGGGATTAAAACAAATCTGTTTGCCAGCACATGCCTATAATCCCAGCACTTGGGATGCAAAGGCGGATCTCTGTGAGTTCAAGACCAGCCTGGTCTACATAGTGAGTTCCAGGACAGCTGGGGCTACATAGTGAGTTCCAGGACAGCCTGGTCTACATAGTGAGTTCCAGGACAGCCTGGTCTACATAGTGAGTTAAGAAAAAAAAGAAAAAGCCAAGTAAGGAGACCCTGTCTAAAAAAAAAAAAAAAAAAAAAAAAAGACCAAGAAAAAAATCTGTTTATTGTATTGATTGTATGGAAGAGAGAGTGTTCACCTTTCTTGGCATGTTGAATTGTGGTAGTTCTGTGTGTTTGATATGCTGGGTGTTAAACCATCAAAGTCACATGTTTGCCTTCTGCTTTAACCGCTGTGTAGAGACTTGCAGACATGCACTCTAGGAAAGTAGCCATTGCAATCTTTCTTCAGACCATGGTCACAGTACCTGCACTCTCTTTGGCAGATGTGGTGTTGGAGAAGGCCATGCACAAGTGCATCTTGAAGCCCCTCAAGGGCCACGTGGAGACCATGCTGAAGGACTTCCACACAGCTGATGGCTCATGGAAACAACTCAAGGAAAACTTGCAACTCGTGCGGCAGAGGAACCCGCAAGAGTTGGGGGTCTTCGCCCCGACTCCTGATTTGGTGGAACTGGAGAAAATCAAGGTTAAGTTCATGACCATGCAAAAGATGTATTCACCAGAAAAGAAAGTCATGCTGCTGCTGCGGGCCTGCAAGCTCATCTACACTGTCATGGAGAGTAACTCAGGTGAGGCTGCCAGGCACACTCTGTCAGGATTCCTGATTGATTCCCCATTTCCCCTCCCTTCAGTCTCTCCATTTCACTTAGCAGCTCACAGAAGTACAAGTGTTACTCATGGAATTTGTCAGATGAGTCTCATGCAAAAGATTAATATTACCAATCAGTAAATGGAAGTAGATAAAAACAAAATGAGAGTTTGTCCAAAGCTGATTTAACAAGTTAGTTTAGCGTAGTGCTTAGGAATTCATTATCTGGGGGTCTGAGTTCAAAATCTCCCTTTGAGAATGAGTTTATTTACTGAGGGGCTTTGGCCTCCCTTACCTTCTACACTGCAGTTTCCACATTGTGGTTGCATATGCCCTTTTCCTTCAGAGTGTGGGAATTAGGTGAGGCAATTCCTGCTGAGCCCTAAGTGCAGTGGGAATATTAGTGAGAGTCATGACTATGTTTTGGTCAGTGAGGGTTCATGTTGATAATCACAGCACATGTCTCAGAAGTCTGAAGCATTCAGTAAGGGTGAGGTTCCATTAGAGTCATGTCATTGGCTCACCCTCTTTAATACATGCTGAAGCAATGTCAGTGGAATTCATCAAAGACTGACAAAGTAGGAAATAAGCTCTTGGATTTCCCCTTGCTATTTCCTAAAGATTCAGGAGCGCTGATGATTCAGATAGTAATCAAGCCTGCCGTGTTCCAGGTCTTCAGGGAGCTTGTAATACAGTGGGTGATTACCACCTTTTTTCCTGAGGGCAATTGCTTAGTAGAAAAGCAGGGAAAACATAGCTGTTACCCATCACTGCTGTTCAGAAGACTGTGTGTGTGTGCATTGCAAAATGCTGAGTGAGGACCTTGACATCTGAGCTTTGGGGACTGGAGAGATGACTCGGTGGGCAAAGCACCTGCCACATAAGGTTAAAGACCAGAGTACAGACCCCCAGCACCCATGTAAATGCTGGGACAATGGGTTTGGCAGCTTGCCTACAGTCCCAGCACTTTTGAGTGGAGACAGGGGGCCCCCAGCGCAAACTGGCTAGCTTGACTAGCCAAGTTGGGAGCCCAAGTTCATAGGACCTCCAAGTTCAGTGAGAGATCCTGCTGCAGTAAATAAAGGGGCAAGAAACCAAGGAACATGCCCTATGTCAACCTCTGGCCTTGTCACACATATGCACACATGTGTGTATGAGTGTGCACAGGACTGACATACATTTGTGCGCAGGCGTGCGCACACACACACACACACACACACACACACACAGAAAACCTGAGCTCTTGAAGAGCTGATACTGCTAGCCTAAGGACTTACTTGCCCTCTAAAATTTGCAAGCACATTTCACATGCAGGAAGTTTATTTCCTATAGTTATCAAGGTCATTTATAAGAACTCCAGAAACGATACTTGCACAGGATTACATTCCTCCAAAACACAGTAAGTCTCAGCCTGCACGCTGGTGATAGACAGCTTTGTCCTTGAAGAAGCTTGACAGCATCCTGGATACCATTTGTCAATGAACATTGCTCTTCATATAGTGTCAGGTTTCCCTTGCACAGCAAAACCACTCTAGTTGAGACCCACCATTGTAAAGAAAACAAGAAATGGGGACTAAAAGAATTGCCATATATTGCTATTAATCAGTTTCTATCAGTCAACATGTACTGAATTACCATGCTGAAATAAATTAAATGTGTACTCACATTAACTAGGGAGCAAAGTTTATTTCTGGTGTAAGTCTGGTCTTGTCATTACATCTTTGATAAAAAGTGCACAGAAAACAATAGGGAATGAGACAGAAGGAATTAGCATAAGTAAATGTTTTGTTAAGGGTTTACAATATAACTTGCTAACAGTTTGAAATATTTAAAGGCATTCTGTCCTAGTGCATTTTATATAAACCATAAAATAAGAAGAAAATATGATCTCTGCTAACTGACTCATAGACATTCATTCTGAGATTATGAGCAAGGGCTGATCTCCTGTGAGCAGTGAGAAGGGTCAAGGACCACGTAGGTAGGATTCCAGAAACACCCACATCTATTTATAAATAGCACATCACCCCAGAATGACTCTTTGATAGCTAATAAAAGCAGCAAGTAGGATGTGAAAGAAAGAAAGGTTGATAAAAATATCCCGCCTCACCCTCTCTTCCTGATTCCAGGGAGGATGTATGGTGCAGATGACTTCTTGCCAGTCCTGACTTATGTGATAGCTCAGTGTGACATGCTTGAATTGGACACTGAAATTGAGTACATGATGGAGCTCCTAGACCCCTCGCTGTTGCACGGAGAAGGTAATGTACTTTTGAGAGTGTCAGAGGAATGAGTAGCTGTTATGTGTGGGTAGGGGGGTTGGTTTCTTTCATTACTTTTTTGTTGTTGTTGTTGTTGAGATGTAATTCATGGAATATAAAATCAGCCATTTTCAAACCAGGCATGGTGGTACACACTTGTGATCTCAGTATTTGGGAGGCTAAAGCAGGAGGATTCTGAGTTCCAGATTGGCCTGAGCTACATAGCACAGACCTGTCTAAACAAGATTGGGTGGCTGGAGAGATGGCTCAGAGGTAAGAGCCCTGGCTGCTCTTTCAGAGGAGCAGGGTTCAGTACCCAGCACCCACATGGTAGCTTATAATCATCTGTAACTCCGTATTCAGGGGATCTGATGCCCTCTTCTGGCCTCCCCAAATGCTAGGCACACATTTAGTGCACATATATACATGCAAACAAAATACTCATACTTATGAATTTTTTTTTAATCTTTAAAAAAAACAAGGGCTGGGGAAAATTCCATCAGTAAAGGGCTTGAGGACCTGAGTTCATTCCCCAGTATCCACATAAAGAAGCCTGGTCTTGCCTAAACTTGTAATCCCAGCACTAGGGAGGCTGAGACAGGTGGGTCCCTGGGGCTGACTGGCAAGCCAGCCTGGCCTAAGCAGGGAGCTCCAGGCCAATGAGTTGCTCACAAAACAAAGTATATGACACCTGAGGAATGATACCCAAGGTTGTCCTCTGGCCTCCGCCTGCATGTGCACACACATTTACCTATGCATGCACATGCACACATACGCACAAAAGAAAACAAAATATAAAGTGAACAATACACAGAATGTTGTGCAGACACCACCTCTACCTAGCTCCAAAGGATTTTTCTCACCCCAGACACAACCTTGTAGCAGCCAATAAGTAGTTACTGGGGTGCTTTGTGATGACATCTGAGTGGTTAACTGCAGGTCTAATTATTTTTTAACAATGTGGTTATTTGGATGCATGTCTGTAATCCCAGTACTTGAAAAGGTAGAGGCAAGAGTATATTCATTGTAGAAAAAAATGTATATTGCAATAGCAATGTATATTCATTGTAAAAGATTAGAAGCTTAAAAAAAGAGAGAGAAATACAACCAAACCCATAAAAATTAACAATAAAAGTTTAACTCTATCGAATTAAACATTCAGTAGAATGTACTTTTTTAAAAATTTTTATTCATTATTTTTATGTGTATGTGTGTATTGCCTGCATGTATGTAAGTGCACCCATGTAGTGCAATGCCCGCAGAGGTCAGAAGAGGCTGTCAGATCCCCCGGGACTGGAGTCACAGACAGGTGTTAGCTGCCATGTGGGTGCTGGGATTCGAACCCAGGTCTTCTGCAAGAACAACCAGTGTTCTTAACCACTGAGCCATCTCTTCGGCCCCCAGAATGTACTTTTTTATATGTGTTTGTTTTTTTGGTACTGAAGGTTGAACCTAGGACCTCACACCTCCAAGACAAGCATTCTACCACTGAGCTACAACCCCAGCCCTTAGATGGCATTTTTCAAAAGGAAATGGTTTCTTTTATTCCAAAAGGCAGTTATAGACTTTTTATTGGAGACTATTTACATAGCCAGAAAAAATAAGCTGCGATTGAATCACTAAAATCAATGGAAACTGGCTTTTTTAAAAAAGAATTTTTGTTTAAATATAAAACCAGCATTCTAGTTTTAAAAGGATTTATTTTTATAATAAAAAGATAATGGGGAGACCCTGGGCATTTTGCTTTCAGTCTACTTTAGTGTTCAGAATCTGTCTTGTCCCTGCCTGTGCCTTGGCAGAAAAAAACTTTCTCTTTCTGCATCAAGTAGGGATTCTATCATGGAAATCCTTTGGACGCTTGGCATCTTGGCTCACAGCCTTGTAAAGCCACAAAAACCGGGACTCTCCTGTGAGCTTGTCTTGATGAAGGAGAACAAATCTGGGCCTGTGTGCCAGTCGTGTTAGTCATTTTTCAGAGATCCCTGGAGCACCCAGACAGACTCTGAGGGTGCAGCTGTGTTTTCTTTGCTCCTGTTGAGTTTCGGTCTAGGCTTGAGCACAGAGGTCCTCCTGCCCTCAGGATTCTGCACAGCATGTGTCACCTCGGTATTTCCCATGCATGGAATTAAATGCATCGTCATCCCCAGAATGTGTCCTTTAATGTCCTCCAACATATAACCTGAATCTGCCAGGCCTTGGCTTTCCTGTCAGAGTTCTGCTATCCCTGGTTCCCCAAAGTATGCCCTCCCCACCCCTTTCTGGTCAGCGCTAGCTTATGATGTGTGGCCTCCATCCTGTCCCCACCCAAAATAAGTGTGAATGGACTCTGCCAGCCTTGTAGTCTCGCCCATTCATGTCCTCTCATTGCAATTCTCAGCCAGAGACCCAGACACTCCATGATGCATCTCAAGACCTGCTGTGTATCTTTCCCTTCCCTGGGATTGGGCAGGAAAGGAAATGCATTTGGCTTTGTCCAGGCAGGCACTGAGGGAAACATTTGTTAGTCCCAATGTCAAGCCTTCCTTTTCCCCTACCATGTGATTATTGCATTTTGGGGTTTGTTTTGGTGTTTTGTTTTGTTTTCAACTTCAATCATGGTTATTGTAGCAATAAGTACAAAAACCTTTGGGGAAAAAGGCATGCCAGTCTCTTAGAAATCACTATTCTGTTATTGACAGTATATACTTAGGACAGACAAATGCTTACATCTTGTGGTCTGAGAATAGGGACAACCATTTCCTGCCCCTTTTCCTGGCATTGACTGAGAGGCCCTGTATGTTGAGCTTGTCTTCTTAAAGGAGAACATCACAAAACACTATCATGACATGTGGCCAGGTGGCTATCTTCACCTCCAGGAAGCCCATGTGAAAAAGATGGGGACATGCTGAACATGAACAGCCTGTGAGCTCTTGCAAGAATCAGAGCCGGCCTCCAGTAGTCTGTGTCAGGGGCTGCTTGGCTTCCTTCTTTGGGAGAGTGGGTTGGCCAGGCAAGCTAAGCTGTGGTTACAGCTGTGGTTACAGACCAGTCTGCACAGCATTGGACTGCAGCTCTGCAGATCAGGAGGAACTGTGGTGATGTTACAGATTCGTCCTTTCTGTGGCCTGCCCAAAGCTCTTGTTGGTTGGCCTAGTAGCAGCCACGTCTTTTCTGCTGTTTAAGCAGGTAGTCTCACTTACAGAACAGGCATCCTAGAATCCCTTGCAATCACACCACTTTCATGGTGGGGTATAGTTTTGCTGAAATTCAAAACCTTCCTCTAATTGCATCCACATGTTCCAGAGTGTGGTCAATTTTGTGCTTCCAGCATTTGGGGTTTTCTCTTCAGTGGCCTGAACACATCAGAGCTATGGAGTCTAAAAATCTGAAGTCAACAGAACCCTTCTCTACCTCTGAAGGACTGCAGCAGCTCCCTCCCCAAGCCACAGCTAAATACTGACATCTGAATACCCCCTGTTGCAATTCCTGAAGTCCTTGTAGATTTCCCCTAATACCCACTGTATAGTATTTGCATACTTTACTCTGACTTTTCACATCCAGTCACATGCTAATTTGTTCATGGGGCAAACATTAACTAAATACCAACAACTCAAAACTTTGGATTAAGTATTGTAGGAGCTGCCATAGAAAGCTTACATCACAAATGGTGGGGTTAGGAAAACTCTAAACCAAAAGCCTGACATGGGCTGCCATGGGCTGGGGGCATTGCTCAGTGGTAGAGCTCTTCCCTCGCATGTATGAGGTCCTAGATTTAATCACCAGCACCACAAAGAAAAAAGTAAAAAAAAAAAAATCCTCATCAGAGATTTTGCAAACAAATTCAAATCCAGGGCAAGTTCACCAGGCACTACGCTCATGCTCCTGAGTGGTAGAGCCATACCCAACTTACACATTGATCAGAGGGAGTTCTACAGGGTACTGTGTGAGCAATTAAATACTCTGGACATGAAAGTGACACTTCTGCAAATAACTTACTTAACTTCAATGAACTTCTGGTCCCAGCATGAATAAATTCTCTGTGTCCGTTTTCTTCAATGTATGTATACACTCCTGGAGAACAGAGACTCTGGTTCTTTTCCTTAAAAGTCTCCCCACCTCCAACTCTGTGATAGTCTTGAGCACATAGCAGAACTTCCAACAGGTATTTTGACAAAGAATGTCTTGAAATACAAAATGTGCTGTGCTCAAAGAATTTTTGCTACACATTCAAGGTGCCCCCTAGTGGCTCTCAAGCACAGAGCTTAGAAATTCTGTAAACAACTAATTCTACGACAAAGCTATGAACAAATGATATGCATCTCACAATGTTGAGTGTCTGTGAACACTCCCCATAAACACAAGAGATCATTTTAAAGGCACCCTCAGAGGGACATCACTGTCTTTTCTGTGTAAAGTGTTTTTTTTAATGCCATGCCACATTAGTCTATACATGAGGGTAAGAAACAGAATCAGGAAGGAAATATTATTTTGAAGTGCTCATATTTTTTAATTATTTTATTTGTTATTTTTATGTGTATGAGTGTAATGCCTACATGAAGGTAAGTGCACCTGTGCCATGCAATGCCTGCAAAGGTCAGAAAAGGGTGTCAGTTCCCCTGAATTGGACTTACAGACAGTTGTGGAATCGGACCCAGGTCCTCTTCAAGAGCAGCCAGCAGCCTTAACTGCTGAGCCGTCTCTCCAGCCCCAAAGTACTCATGTTTTTGTCAACACATTTATATATGGCACAGTTCTTTCAAAGTGTTTAGTTTACCTAAAATTTAGAAAATATCAATTCCCAGAAGAAACGCCTAAGAGCCAGTATTTCCAGGAGAGCCATGGACTCCTGGAGTCCATGGCCTAGAAGCAGTGCAAACTCCCCTCACCTGCCTGACTTCTTCCCCACCACCTCATCAGCCCTCAAACCCTGACTTTTACTGGAAAGCCATTTTGCACATGCCCTTTAGTAATGTCGGGGTTTGGTGTGTTTAATTCACTGGAGTGGAAATCCTTTCAGTGGAAACGGGCATGCTGTAAGCTTATTGGTGCTCCTTGGCCCTGGCACAGGCTTGGGCCTCCATAAATCTCTGTGAGATGAATCCTGAGTGAGTGAATGAAGGAACGAGTGATATGTTCTTAGATGTGTGTTTCTATGGATCTGATGGGAAAATCAGTCTGCTTCCACATGCCTAGGTTCTGCTTCTGTAGATTCAACCATGAGCTGTAAATATCATGAAAAAAAAAAAGAAATTAAGGGCTGGAGAGATGACTCAGCAGTTAAGAACTTACTGCTCTTGCAGAGGACCTGGGTTTGTTCCTAACAAGCTCATGGTAGCTAACACCCATCCTTAACTTCAGTTTCAGGGGATCCAGTGCCCTCTTCTGGCTTCCTCAGGCACCAGGCACACATGTGTACTTATATACATGCAGGCAAAGCACTCATATACATAAAATTAAAATAAAGTTTTAAAGGAAAATGAAATTAACAAATGTCACCTTTTTCTTTGTCCTTAAGCAACTATTCATGTAGTGTTTCTATTGTATGAGGTATTAAGTCATCTAGAGGTGATTTCAGGTTTACAGGAGGATTGTGAAGGTTATATGCAAATACAGTGACATTTTATATAAAGACTTAAGCATTCATAGATTTTAGTGCATAAGGGTTGGGTCCTGGACACCATCCCTCGAGGATGCTGAAGGATAACTGTATGTGTGCTGGATAGCTTTAGTGTCAACTTGACACACCTGGGTGGAGGGAGCCTCAATTGGGGAATTGCCTCCATAGGACTAGCCTGTGGCTATGTCTGTGGGGCATCTTCTTGATTGTTGAGTGATGTGGGAGGGCCAGCCCACTGTGGGTGGTACCACCCCTGGGCAGGTGGGCCTGTGTTGCATAAGAAAGCAAGCTGAGCAAGGACCAGGGGAGCAAGCCAATAAGCAGTGTTCCTCCATGACCTGTGCTCCAGCTCCTGCCTCCAGGTTCCTGCCCTGAGTTCCTACCTTGGGCTCCCTGATGAACTGTGACCTGGGAGACATAAGACAAATAAACCCTTTCCTCCCCAAGTTGGTATTGGTCAGAGTGTTTTGTCACAGCAATGGAGAAACAAACTAGGACAGTATGCACTATCCCTCTAACACTCATACACCTCCACTTTCATCACCAGTCTGACACTCTTGAGAACCCAGTCTTTCTGCCCTTCCAGGAGGCTATTACTTGACTAGCGCCTATGGAGCACTGTCTCTGATAAAGAATTTCCAAGAAGAGCAAGCAGCAAGACTACTCAGCTCAGAGACCAGGGATACCCTGCGGCAGTGGCACAAGCGGAGAACCACCAACCGGACCATCCCCTCTGTAGATGACTTTCAGGTATGCAGCCCAGTCCTCACACCGCTTCTTTGTCTTCCAGGAAGGTGGAGCTGGCTCCCACAGAACATATACACAGGGCCTGAGGTCCTTGCTCCTGTGAATCATGTGGTGGAAAAAGGATAATTTAAGCCACCCTCTGACATTGCTGTTATGCTTCTGTTTCTTTAAACATATATACAGATGCATCTCAACTTGCAAGGAGTCGTGTTCCCATTGAAAACAGCATAAGTGGAAGATGCATTAACTATCTCTAACCCATCAGGCACCCTAACTTAGGAAAACAGTGAACTGTGGGTATGGGAATCAGTTGTGTCACCTCATGATCTTCTGGCTGAATGTCATTCCTAACCCACCACTGCGGCCCAACATCATAAAGAAGATTGGCTTGCATATTGTTAGCCTAGGAAAAGGTGCAAATTCAAAACCTGGCTCTTGGTATAGCTCAGTGAAAAAGTATATCCACAAAGCCCTCGATTCTATCCCTAGAACATAGAAAAAAATTTCAAGCCTGGCATGGTACCGCACGCCTTTAATCCCAGCACTCAGGAGGTAGAGGCAGGCAGATCTCTGCGAGTTCAAGGCCAGCCTGGTCTACATAGTGAGTTCCAGGACAGCTGGGGCTACAGGGAGACCCTGTTTCAAAAAGACCAAAAAAAAAAACTAGAAAATTTCAAAGGTCAAGGTAAAATTTATACTGACTATGCATCACTTTAGTACCAATATAAATATAAATAACACCATACGAAATACACATTCAGGTTTGGCTCAGAGTTTGCCGCCTTTAGGACAACAAAATCAAATTAAGATGGGATTTCTCCTAAAATATTTGGCCCATTGCTAAATACCTAAGCCAACAGAAGGTAGAGAGGAAACCGCTCTTGGCACAGGTGTTGGATATCCCATTTCCTCAGGAAACAGTGGTTTTATCCTCTAGTGGGCCTGGTTGGTCTTGGGGAAGGAGCTTCCCCTTTCTCTCCAAACAGAAGACTCCAGAATACAGGCAACAGCTCCTATGGCAGCTGGTCAGTTTGAGAGCGAACATTATAGCCAGCACCCCCTCAGGTTCCCAGGCTGGAGATTTCCTGACCTGATGCAGGATCCCCAATGAACTTACTTTGCAGAGGAAAGGCAAATTAGGGCTATGGATGCCTGTTTCCTGATCTCACATTTCTTGATTTGCTTGTTGTCTTGCAATGATGAGCAAGTCTGCCAATTTCTTTGAATAATATTCTGCAGGCTTTAAGTGCAGTCGTAAAACCTGTCTATGTTTTATTTCTCAATGTGCCAAATGGCAAGTTTTCTAGTAGAAAACTGGAAAAGCAGGAGGGATTCGTCTCCGTGTCCAGCTTCACCTTCCTCGCCTTTTCTTCCCTCGTTAATGCTCTAGAAATAACCTTTGGTTCAGAGTCAGCCCATGCTTGAAAGGCAAGGTCAGCATGTTCTTCTCCAGGATTGCAATTTTCTCAGAAATCCCTTCCAGACACACAAAGTACAAAGCAAGAACACATGCTGTGTGTTCCTCAGCACCCCTCCCCCATACACACCCTCTTGGGTTGTTTAAAGTATCCATGTGTTAAGTGATTTAACACGGGCAGACCCCTGGGCCACTGTTACATGGGCTTCCTGCGGGGCTGAAACCTCTGATAGGAGAGACGAGAAGTATTTCTTCCATCTCTGCAACTGCCACCATGTGTCTCCCCGTTGTCACCACTCCCCACCTGCAGCTTCTGACCTAGAGACCCCGACACCACCTAGCCCTTCCTTTGGTACGCACCCTCCCTGCTGGCCTCACGCACTTGGGAAAGTATGTCTTCTCAAAATACCACCCAAGAGTGAAATGTTGAGCTCTCAGATCAGGAACAAAAACAGAAACCCAGACACAGAAGTCCACTTGGAACTCCAATGCCATTGGTCACAGATCTCACCTCCTTCACGAGGGAGCATGCGCCAAGTAGCAGAGGCAGAGTGGAACGCTGGCTCCGCCATTTTCTAGTTGTGTCGCCTTCGGCAAGTTACTTGGGCCTCTCTGGGCTTCAGTTTCTTCATTGTTAAAAGGGATAATGTGGCTGCTCTTACAGTTCTCTTTAAGAGTCCTTGAACAAATGCAGAAGGTTCCAGTAGGGGCAGGAGAAGAGAGCTGTGGTCTGATGGCACATGTACATGCTCTGAAGACAGGTGTTTAAGTCTGAGAGTGTTCATCTGGGTGCCATTTGACCCAGCTCACCTCCTCAAAGCCATCGAACTGGCCAATGTCCTCCCTACACACAGATATGTAACATCTTACATGTGCAGACGTCCTGTGCAGTGAACTCTCATGGCAACCACAGGAGAACCTAGGCTGAGGCCTCTTCCCTGCTCTCTCAAGCAGGATCACCAGATCTTGGAGGAGAAAAATGTATCTGTTTTCTAGATGCAACTCAAATTTGACTGGGAGTTCTCTGTGTAGGATCCACATTCTTAAAGACATGCAAACAAAGGAGTTACCCAGAGTAACAGAATCCAGAAGAGCCTGGTGTGCATTAAGGCCTCTTTGCAACTGTTTGGGTTTGTGTTGTGGGAAACTGCAGGCTTATTGTATTTTGAGATGGTGAATACCTAGCAGGATTCTCAATGCCAAGCTTGCAAATGTCTCCTTTTGCTTCCCCGAGACACCACGTCTTGGGTAGTTGGCTCCGGTTCCAAACTCTTCTTGCAGAATCAGCATTCTCTTCCCTCTCGTTTTTTCCACATTACACCAGCGCCACTGGGAGCCTTATGTTGGGTTGCACCATATGAGATCACCTTTTGGGGAACTCAAAGAACATCAGCAGTTTGAGCATTAGTGTCTTTCTTAGGCTTCATAGAACAAGCACAAAGTGAGCACCATATGTGCTGTTGTGTGTAGGTGCTTTAAATCTCTTCCTGCTAACTCCTGGATCAGATTCTTCTGTCTGGTTTATTTTTCAAACTGGGAATAATCCCAGCTTTGGATGTGGTTTACAGTCTTACGCAGGGATTTCTTAAGCAGCAGGCTTTAGGAGGGATACAGACAGATGAAAACCACAGCTGACCACTGCTTCTGTTTGCAGTGAGCTAAACTGCAGCAGCCTGGTTCGTGTGATGGTCCTTGCCACTTTCATAATTCAGGTTTCTTTCCTTGCAGTTTGAGCTGCATGACCTGACAACAGACAGTATGACAAGCCCAAATCTTGAAATGGCTCATAAATTCAGCCATGTGCTTGCTGCTCATGATGTGACTTATTGCTGTCTGCTTTTCTCTACTGACTTTGTCTCTGACATCTCTATTTCCACTTGCAGAATTACCTCCGAGTTGCATTCCAAGAGGTCAACAGTGGCTGCACAGGAAAGACCCTCCTCGTGAGACCATACATCACCACAGAGGATGTATGTCAGCTCTGTGCTGAAAAGTTTAAGGTGGAGGACCCTGAGGAATACAGCCTCTTTCTCTTCGTTGATGAAACGTGGCAGCAGTTGGCCGAGGACACTTACCCTCAAAAGATCAAGGCTGAGCTGCACAGCCGGCCTCAACCCCATATCTTCCACTTTGTCTACAAGCGCATCAAGAGTGATCCTTATGGTGTCATTTTCCACAATGGGGAAGACCTCACTCCCTCATAGAAGGCACATGGGACTTGCTCTTGATGCATCCAAAAGGGAGCTAGGAGCCTGGTCCTCTGGCTGCCACATGTTTAAGCTTGGAAGACAGCCACCTCCTTGAGGACCCCTCAGTTCAGCGACTAAGCCAGCCACAGGCTAACCTGGTTAAGGGGATCTTTTAGACACACTGCCCAGACAAGTTTGCTGAGCTTCTCAAAATAGTGAGATTCTCCTCCAGAAATGGAGAATTGCATCTGATGGTTCAAATGTCCTCAGAATGCTGGCTTCTTGGTCCTAGTCAGGTTCTAGGTTGGCTTACATGTATGTATATGTGCTGAGGAAACATTTAAGGTACAAGCTCTTTTCTTGGATTCATAGCAGGTGTTGACAATACTGTCCGATGCAGTGCGTCAGGTACTTCTCGGTTCTTTGGATGGCTCCATCCTTCCCCCTCTCCTTTCTTCTTCGTTCCTTCTTTTTCTTCCTTCTTTCATTCCTTCCTTCTATCCTCTCTTTTTTTATAAAGAGCCTTTTGTTTTTATATATTTCATAGAAAATTTTTATAGCAGTTGCAGGTAAACTGTCAGAATTTGTTTTTAAAATATTTTTGTAACTTTAAAGTATTCTATAATTATGCATGTGATTTAACATTTAATATTTGAAGATAAATCTCTTGCTGGATTTGAGAGTATTGCATTTTAGATGTCTCTTTTCTGTAACTGGATGTTTTGGCAACTTTGTGGGGAGAGACTGCTGGGTTTTCTTAAAGCAGTGTATTCCTGACACTGGCCACAGACTGCCTTTGGAAATCTGACGTACTGTTATCCTGTTCATGTGTAGTGGTGTTGTGCTATTTGTTTTTGTTTTGTTTTTGTTTTGTTTAGTTCTGAAGTACATGATTCTGAGAATAAGGAGAGAAATGAATGTAGAGAGAGGTAGAGAGAGAAACACAGACTCTAAGGAATGGCTGAGGAATGTAGTGTGCAGTTTCAGGCTCTTCGGAGTACATCAGAAAAGGAGTCAGGAGGAAGCCTCTGTGATAAAGTACTGTAAGTATGTGCTGTAGCGAGATTCGGCAAAATTCTGGTCCGTGTGTGGTCTACTTTGGGAGACAAGTTTGAAAATTCCACAAAGAAAAGTAAATCAAGGCTAGCTCCCCCCACCTGCCCCCCCATTTCATAAACGCAAACTAACAGCATCCAACTGTTTAGAAGCAGAAAACAAGTAATATATAATGTGGCTGTTGCTGAGTTAAATAAGATGCTGTTGGGAAAAGAGTGCACCAAAAGAAAACCTTCTGTTTTGTAAGAATATAAGGTGGCTGGGAATGTGGCTCAGTGGTAGAGCTAGTGTGCACAAGGCACTGGGTTCCATCCCCAGCACCACAAAGCAAACAAAACACACAGAAACCCATATATAAGAATAAGGTGGATGTGTGAAGTTAGATTCATGTTTTATAAAACCAGTTGATTGGCACATACTACAAGGGTCTTGTGTCAGTATAATACAGGTTATTTAAAAGAAATTCGAGTTACTGTACTGTGTGAGGACACAGGCATCTGATTTGGTGGGCCTTGTACCTGCCCCTTCCAGCCTTGACTTTTATTGTAGTAGAACCTTCAGCACATTCTGTGTTGTACTTCCTTTTGTAAATGATTTTTAAATGGAATTTTGCACATAATACATTGTAATACTGTAAAATAATCTTGTGTAAAAATAATTTTTGCAATATTCTTCAACTGTCTTTTTTTCTTGATTTGTTTTAGAGTCAGAACATAACCAAAATGCCTTGTAAATTTGCATGACAGTAAACTTTAGACTGTGTTGGTGGTTGTGGAAAAAAAACAGAAAGACACACATTGTTCACAACGTTGTGGACTGATGGGGCAAAAATTAAGATTCAGAAGGAGAGAAAATGAATGGTCCTCTGACCAGAGGGGGTTTGTAGGGTACAGCACTTGGCTTAGATGGCTCTAGAGAAAAATTACAGCTCATCTGAACCCAGAGCTAGCCAGGCCCTGCAGACAGCTCCTCCCCGTCCTTAGGGAACCTCTGCAGTGTCCTGGCTGAGAGTTCAGGGCAATTGCAAAATCAATGGCACCAGCATGGTCTTCCCATGCTTTGTAGCCATGCCTGACTGGCAAGTGCTCACCTCACCAAATCCTGTTGACTGAAGGAAGGAAAGCACACGTTTAGAACGGTTTCTGTCACATCTGCAGGACAGCTGCCTAGAGATCAGAAGGAGGGCTGAACGTCTTGCTTCTGATGTTTGCAATGACTTGACAGATGGAGGCCCCCGGATCTATACAGCTGCCTCTCAAAATCAGACCATCATGCTGCCTTTACCCTTCGATTGAAAGCAGGTCACAATGTCTGAATTAGGCAGTTGGAGCAGCCCTGGTGAGATCAGAGTAAGAAAAGCTAGAATGGGCAGAAGGAAGCATCACAAGACCTTCCCTGGTTTGCCATTGGGCAATGCTCCCCTGACAGAATTTCAACACATGTGTCTCCATTTTCCCCCCACGCAGGCATTTCTCACTTCTCGGTTTGCCAGGAAACAGACTCTGGTGGAGTTTGGATGGAATAAGAGTAGAGTAAAAATATACATGCTGGGTGGAGGGAGAAGGAGAGTGCACTTCCAAGTCTAAAAATATGTTGACCACCAGCCAGAGGAAGGGACATTGTTTTTGATGTTGGACACAATGCCAATATGACCCCCTTGGGGACACAGAATAGGAATGGAAATTGTTGAAGTTGTTCATATCTTGTGGGAGTTACAACTTTAGATCTATAAACAAACACAAAAGACAGGAAACCCAGCCTGACTGCTTCCATTCACAAATATGATCTCACCTCCCCAGCAGTTCTGACCTTTGTCTTCCGTAGGAAATATGGAATAAGTGAGCCTTCTGATGCTTAATAGCACATCTGGTTAACCCCCAAATGCCTAAGAGAAATGGCACAGGGAGGGCTCTGTGTGTACATGGGCTACCTTGTTGTATCATATGGCAGTGTCTGAGAACAAAATACTGACTCTCCTAAGTTTCTAGACCATTCTCATGTGGGTAAATTTGAAATGCAAAATACTGTTTGCCATTTGGTGAACCTTAGTCAAGTTGGAAAAATGACCCCCCCCCAAATCATATTACATTACACAATCATAAGCAGATGATGATAAGGGAGCAGGAGGAACTAGCTAATATTTGTTTCAGGAAACAGGTTCTGTTTTGTGTTTTTTTTTTAAGGATCTATGTTTTAGCTTCAAAGAATGGATGGCAGCTGGCCCAAACTTTCCACATGAATATTGAGTTTGCTGGGAAAAGAGTTATGGGAAGTTGGTTTTTTTTTTTTTTTTTTTTTTTAAAGCATATTCAAGGGCTAGGAGTGTAGCTCAGTAATATTGTTAGTGTTTGCCTAGCATGCACTAGGCCCTGAGTTTGATCTCCAGCACTGTAATGAATAGACACACATATACATTCAGAAAGATGTGAGTCAAAATTCTTTTTTGTTTTGCTTATTTGTTGTTGTTATTTGGTTGGTTGGTTTTGGTTCTTTCGGAACAGGGTTACCCTGTAGCCCCAGCTGGCCGGGAATTCACTATGTAGACCAGGCTGGCCTCAGTCTCACAGAAACCACCTGCCTCTGTCTCCTGAGTGCTGGGATTAAAGGCACGTGCAGCCATACGTGGCTCTGTTTGTTTTTTAAGACAAATCTCATGTGAGGCCTAGGCTGACCTTAAACTTGCAGTGATCCTCCTGTCTCTGACTTCTGGGTCAATAGTCATAAATTTTTTTGGCAGAGCTGGAGATGGAACCAAAGGCCTCATACATACTAGATAAGTGCTTTACTTTTGAGCCACACCCCCTGCCCTGGGCCAATATTCCTTTGTTGTTGTGTCTTTGTTCTGAGACAGGGTCTTATGTAGCCCAGGTTGGCCTCAAGCTCATTATATTGCCCAGGATGACCATTAACTCCTGATCCCCCTGCTTCCATCTCCTGAGTGCTGGGATTACATGCAGGTACCACCCAGCCCAGTTCTTACTCTTATTAGAGAGGTAACCAAGGCTTGCCCTCAGAAGTCTCCATAGAGGACCACCAGTTGGAATGAAGTGGCTGGAGTGGACACAGCCTTTTTTCTTGATTCTAACAATATCTAAAAAAGCATCAAAAGTAGAATTTTCAGAATATCTTATACTCTGTATTAAAAGCATGTAAAATATTATTCTATAAATGAGTCTGGGTATTTCCTTTGACTGAACATACTGGAATTATTATAACTGAGTCTTTCACTGTTCACTGGATAAGCCAGCCATGTGGGACTATGGCCCAAGGATGGCTCTGTAACCAGTACTTGGGTTTCTAGAGTACATGTCACTTACACAATGGAAGGTGTTTGTCACCAGGGCTTCCCTCCCCCCCTCCTTGAGTGCCATCCTACTCCTTCTTCTCATGCCCCCATCAGGGTCTGTAGAGTGTTTTTCTCCCACAGCAGGTCATAAAACCTTTTTATTCCATCCCAGGGCTCCCTGCCAAAACACAGGCTCTGACTTGCCTTTTCCTCTTTATAGCTTAGATCTCCAGTTCCAGCTGGAGACTTGACTGTGAATGGTTAAATTATGGATATAATGTAAATGTATGTGTAGGTATGTGCATATGAATGCAAGTGTCCAAGGAGGCCAGAAGAGGGCGTCAGATCTCCTGGAGCTGGAGCTACAGGCAGTTGTAAGTCATCTGCTGTGGGTGCTAGGAAGCAACCTCAGGTCCTCTGCAAGGGCACTGCACACTCTTAACAGCTGAGCCATCTTTCCAGCCCCACAAGAGTGCATCCTTTATTTGGCTAGAAGAGGATCATTGGAGTATATACCTCTTGCTTGGTGCTGTCCAGTAGAAACATGAAGCCAACCACATAGTTACAAATTTTTAGAAGCCACATTTTAAAAAGAAAAAAAAAAGTCCAAGCCCATTTTAGTGATAGATGTTATTTAACCCATGATATTTCAAATACTATATTTCAACAATCAATCTAAAATATTAAAGAGATATTTTACATTTTTTTACATATTGAATCTTCAAAATCTTGTATTTTGCATTAATTGCGCATCTAATTTCACACTGACCACATCACAAATAATCTGTAGCTCCTGTGTCTAGTGCCTACTGAACTAGATAGTGCAGTTCTAACACATTAACAATAATAATAATTTAAGGCTTTATCTTTTCTTCTTAAGTTTAGCTGGATGTGGTGGCTCATGTCTGTAATTCTAGCCCTGGGGAGACTGAGCAGGAGGGATTGGAAGTTCAAGGCCAGCCTGGTCTACATAGTGAATTCCAGTCTAGCCAAGTCTATATAGCAAGAAAGCAAAAACAAATAACTGTGTATATATAAAATAGAATTATATGAACAGGTTAAATCTACAAAGAAAAATGCACGTGTGTGATTAGCAAGCTGAAGATAAGAATGGTGCCTTGCCTCATGCTAGAGCTTAGATCTTCACTGCCCCTCCAAAGGCCATGAATTAGAGACTTGGTCCCCAGGGTGGTGTGTTGGGAAGTGATGGGATCTTTAACAGATGGGACCAAATAGCCTCAAGGTCTTTCAGTTATTGGGGGGAATGTTTCTGAAGGAAATTGTAGGGCCTGGCTCTTTCCTTTTTCTTTCTTTGGCTTCCTAATTATGAGTGGTTTTGCTCTGCTAGATGCACCCCCACCATTGCCATCCAGGGCTCCTAGCAGAGGCCTAAAAACAACGGGACCTCTAAAATTGTGCAACAAAATACCCTTTTCTTTTTACAGGTTGATTACTCAGGTATTTGTTATAGTGATGGAAAACTGATTAACACACCTCATCAGGGTACCCTAAGGCCAACATGAATTCATGTCAAATGCTTAGAACAGCACCCAACATATCATAAGCACTACTAAATATTGGTTATTATAATTAGATGATCTGCTGCTTTGACATTTTCCAGCCATGATTTGTTAGTACTTACCCATTCGTGTCATTTATTTGTGGCTGGCGAATTGCTCATGAAATAGAACAAAGGCAGTAATAGATATCAAATGTCTAAGAGAATGTATTGGAGTGAGAGGCTCAACGTGATAAGGTCAGAAATAAAGGGAATGGAGGCTGGAGAGATGGCTCAGAGGTTAAGAGCATTGGCTGCTCTTGCAGAGGACAATTCCCAGCACTCACATAATGGCCAACAATCATTTGTAATTCTAATTCCAGTCCCAGGGAATCTGATGCCTTCTTCTGACCTCTGCAGGCATTGCCCATGAGTGTACATGCAGGCAATACACTCAAACACATAAAATAAAAAGAATAAAATATTTTTTAAAAATAAAGGGAATGCTGTTTATTAACTTTGCTGCTGTTCTTCTTGCTGCTGGTGGCAGTGATAGTGGGGTGTATGTGTCTGTGTATGGCACAGAGAGAGTGGGGAGAAGGAAAAAGGAGGGGGGAGAGAAAGAGAGAGATTGGTAGTGGCCCATTCTTTTCAACATTCCCTACTAGCTAAGAGGGAAGATACAGTACCATCAGGAGCTATAACCAGTTAGGACTTCTGGGAAAAGGAAAATAAAGAAGGATGCAAAGACAAGTCTTGCTGGCTTCCTCTTCATGGCCGAATGAAATCCCGAGAGGAGCCATCTCCACCCCCACACAGGAATCTAAAACAGCACTTCCCAGAAAGGAGTTAATAGTTAGCTAAAAATGCAGCCACAGTCCGTGATTA